TTGGATTCCCGCTCACGGCCAACACCCAGTGACGAACATCCAAACTCGTACTGAGCCTCCCCTAAGGTCGTCCCCTGCCTCGAATGAGTACCTGGTGTAATGTGTCGTAAATATCGCCACTGGGGAGACAAAGGCGGTCGAGCATGGTGCTGGCTATCCACCCCTCCGCCCGTTTAATCGTTGCGGCCTTCATAGATGCTCGTCAACAGCGCGTGCCCTAACAGCTTTTCAGGGGCCGTCCATAAATGACGTCACGCGATTTTGGAGGATTTTTGACCCCAACCCCCCCTTTGTCACACGGCGTCACAAAAAGTCAGACCCCCCCCCCCCTAAAATATGACGTCACATCGCTTTAAACTATTGTCTTTGTAGCGCGTATTTAATGTGGCGCTGCACTCTGATGTTGCAGGAGAAAACATTTATTAAAAAGTCTATTTAATTATTTAAAGTTGCGCATTTTGATGTGACGTCACGTTTCTCAAACACCCCCCCCCCTCGTCACACATCGTCACAAATGTCTGACCCCCCCCCCCTCCCCTAGGTGCGTGACGTCATTTAAGGACGGCCCCTTAAGGCTATACCGGGGAGGGGTGGATCTTTGTCTCTTCTAGATTTGAAGCTTTCGTGACTGCAAGGATCCAAAATAAAAATCACGACGTTTCGGCCACTTGTGTTGTGGCCGAAACGTCGTGATTTTTGTTGTTTTATTTTTTACCTACGTGACTTTACCGAATAGAACCAAAGAGTATCTTTGTCTTTGTGTACATAAATCATTGATCATCATCAATCAGTTGCTCCTCCTTGCGCGAGTGTTCGCCAATCGCACGGGGTGACTGCAATCGGTGCGTGCAAGGTCAATGATGAGCAGGCAGGCATGGGGGGGGGGGGGGAGGTGGTGTGAGTCGCGATTGGAGGAGGCCCCGTCAAGCGACGATAGCTCGGGCGGAACGATTAATCGATTCCAAATCGATTAATCGATTTCAAATCGAAATTTGAAACAATGCGATGAGCAAATCGCAAAGGCTGCGATTTTTTCCGCGATTTGAAAAGTCCTATTACTTATTGGAATTGTTAAATTGTTTCTATTATTATCACTTTATTTAACTTAATTGTTTTATGTTTCATTGTTCTATTTCAATTTAAACATTTTTATAAATACATGTTGGAAGCAATCCATATCTTTTAAGTTATCATCCTTGCATTGGAATATATAGAGCAGTTCATATTTTGATGGTAGCATGTGGTAATGCTCCATCACATGTGGTAATGCTCCATCACATCTATTACACAGTAAATATTGAACTGAAGCTTGACTTAAAAAAAAAACTTTAATCGCAATATCTGTCAGAAAAATCACAATTAAATATTTTCCACAAATCGTTCAGCCCTACCGATAGCCACGAGTCGGGGAAATTAAATCCCTCCGTGTTTCAGGGAGCCGTTGTCGTGTCGGGCCACACAACGAGCTAGGGCAGGACAAGAAACCCTTTAAAAGAAATGCAATACACTGACTGTATATGTATGAGACGACATTTCGCGAAATGGCCCTTCCGTCATCGAACGTAATTTGGATGTCCAACTCTGACCTCTCTGACCTCTCTGTGTGTATATGCCATGACGATGGGTGTATGCCAGAAACGCTGCCTATTATATAAATAGTTTTTTTATTACTTAAATCAGGAATGTATATTCTTTGGGGCTTTCTGTAAAGTCACGTAGATAGGTTAAAAAATAATAAAATAAACAAAAAGTACGATGTCTCGATCGCTTGTGTTACGATCGAAACGTCGTAGTTTATGATTATTTTATTATTTTTGAACCTATCTACGTGACTTTACCGAAAGACCGAAAGAATAGTTTTTTTTTCTTCCTTTAAATGGCAGCGTTATCAACGCATGTGTTGAGTTGTGTGTGCGTGTGGTGTAGCGGTTATAGCCCTGCGATACGAACCCGGCGACCCGAGCTCGATTCCTGCTCACGGTCAACACCGGTGACGAATATCTGAGCCTCCCCTAGGTTGACTCCGCCTCAAATGAATACCCGGTGCGATGTGTAAAAAAAAAAAACATCGTCACCGGGGAGACAAAGGTGGTCGGGCGTGGTGCTGGCCACCCACCCCCTCGTGTGCCGTGCCGGCCTTCATAGGTGCTCGCTAACAGCACTTTGCCCCCTACAGGTTTTTAAGTTTTTACGGGGGATTTATTTTTCTTTTGTTTTGCACCACCGCCAACGCAGCAATATTACCAAACAATCTGCTTATTGTTTACTCGTGATTGTTCAAACGACTTGCAAGAGCTGGGACGACCAGTCCTACAATTTGCAAATCTGCTTGCTGTGGTTAATTACTTGGGACCTCTTTTATGAATGACTGCCGGACCCCACACGCTGCCCTCTCTCGAAGACGGGAAACTCCTGGCAAGACGCGGCTGATGATGGATGACGGCGCCTCCAAGTCCCGCTATCACCTCCCGTCCAGCGGCACACGTAGGTACGGCGGTGAGACTTCGTTTCTCAACGATGTTCGTGTTACCCGATTAGACGAGTACGTTCTCAATCCATTGAATCGTTTTCACGGTTGAATACTTGAGTACAGTAATCGGAGGTGGGTGGGTTGGTGGGGGGGGGAGGTGGGTGGGGGATGGAGGTGGGTGGGGGGGAGGTGGTGGAGAGGTGGTGGGTGGGTGGGGGGTGTGGATAGGTGGGTGGGGGGTGGGTATGTGGGTGGGTAGGTGGAGAGGTGGGTGGTGGGTGGGTGGAGGGTGGGTGGGAGGTGGGTAGGGTGGGTGGTTGGGGGGGATAAGTGGGTGGGGTGGGTGTGTGGGGGGGATGTGTGTGGGTGGGTGGAGGTGGGTGGAGGTGGGTGGATGGGGGTGGGTGTGTGGGGGGGAAGGTGGGTGTGGGGGGAGTGTCGGGTGCTGTGCCAACACCAAGGTGGGCGGCCGACCCAAGGCTCACATTGAGCAGCGATCCCTCGATTTGTTGTTGACGATCTCGCAAGCACGACGTCTACAATGGTCTAAACAGTCCGCGGATGTCTGCGCACCTCCCAATAGCCGAACACTTTACACGCGCGATGTTAAAAAACACAACAGCAGCGTGGCTGCGACGTTCTCGGCAGCAGAGGACCGGTTCCCAGCGAAATCAATTTTTTCACAACTTGCACTCTGATGCTAACCAGCGCTCGAATAGCGCCCACGACCCGCACGGAGTGGACTATGTGAATAAAACACACTTATATATAAAACATAATTATGTTTTGTTTTCATTATTTTATTTCAATTCTACGTGACTTTACCGAAAGAACCAAGAAGATGAATCCCCTGCAGTCACGAGAGCTCTAAATCGAAACTATGTGGATTTCGTACGAGCTTCTCAAAAGGCGCGCGTGTTTTTTTCTCAAACATGTTTACGCACACTCTTCGGTTCTTTCGGTGAAGTCACGGAGAAAAATAAAGTCAAATAAAAATCGAATACGACGTTTCGATTGCAACACAAGCAACCGTCATCGGGTAAGATTGAATGAGAAAAAAAAACCATGGTAAACTTAGAAACACAATGCAACACAACACAGAGAGCCGGCCAACACAACAGCCAACACCCCACCACGAACCAAAGAGTAATTCCTGCAGTCACGAAAGCTTCGAATCTAGTTTTGTTTTATTTCATATATTAGAGGACCACATTGATTTGTAATGAGGCTCTCTCTACATGGCATATTGTGGTCCAGATGTCTTGTGACACCCCCTCCCCCCCCCCCCAATTAATTGGGGGCCACGCGACAAATGGAATATATTTCTCCTTTTCACATTAATTCGTTTTTTTTAAACCTTACTTTAAATAAACATAACTTTAAATAAACCTTCCTTGAAATAAACCTTACTTCATATATATTACGTTTTAGAGGATTAGATGCGGGTCACAAGACATCTAAACAACCCTAAATTTTGGGAAAACTCACTACCTCGTAGATGAATAGTGCTACAATATTAAACTACGGTCGTGACTTGAGGCAGACAGGAGACACGTCGAGGGTTTGATATAAAGCGTTCTTAGGTCCACACTCCTCTCTTCCCTGTGTTTTTATGTTTTTACCTCGTCTTTTTTTTTCTCTCTTGCCTCTCTCCATGTGCTGTGAAGAGGGGTAGCTGTCAGAAACGTCACCTGATGTAAACTGTTGTCTTCTTAAGGTCAATGTCATTTAGGGAATTGCGTTTTTTGTTATTTATCCTAGTGCACCACTGCCAGCGCAGTAACACCAAGTAATGTTTTTTTGGAAACATTTTATATTTTAGTTGGGGATTTATGAATGGATCATTCTGTATCCTGTACTGTACAGGGTGTTTAAAAACGATGGACCCAATTTCAAAGCAGTATATTTCACGATGGCAACATGTTACAATTACACGAAAAGTTACAAACGGTTTAATGAGTTATTAAGTTTGACTAAACATTTTATAAATGTGCCCTCCACCTGCTGTACGGACAACATCGAGACGATAGTTGAATTCGTCCCAAACGCCTCTCAAAGTGTCTTCTTCCACTGAAGTCACCGCTGCCGTGATTGTTGTTGTGGTCATCCAGATTAGTCGCTAATGGTGGCACAAAAACACCACGGTCTTTGACGTATCCCCACAAGAAAAAGTCGCAGGGTGTGGTGATGTCTGGGGATCTTGGGGGCAAAGCGTGTAGCGCCAAGTCTTGGGGTTCCGTGCGAACTATCCAACGTTGAGGCAGTGTTGTCTTGCGAATGACTGAGGCTAGGGGCTGCTTGTGCGCTGGGCGAGGCATCTAGCGGTAATAATTTGAAACTCTATGCCCCGCCCTCTCTATGCCCCGCCCTCTCTATGCCCCGCCCTTTCAAGTGGTAAGAGTTTCATTCATGGGCGGTTCGTGGATGCAGAGATAGAGAGATTTCAAATCGGGCCCATCTTTTTAAACACCCTGGATATTGAATGAGCTTCAGTGTTGTGATGATGAAAAAAATACTTGCATGATACCAATTCGAAAACAAATCCTTTATTTGGTACACGATAACATTACTATGTACTGTATTAACAATATCAAATGCGTCTGGATATCTAAGCAAACCAAGAAGCGTCATATGTGCAATTTACCAGCTGTAAGCTATACAAACACGAGACGCCAAAGATGTATCGTTTTTAGCATCTGCAAATGAAATATATTTTTGTATTTTGAAAATAAACTAATATTCTGTGTTCAAATTACGGGTAAATTCTGCAGAAAAACACTTCATAGTATTATTATACAGTTAATAGAAAAACAACATTCACCCTTGTGTTTATTCATGACCAGCATGATGCATTTTTTTTCTTACCTAATGAGCAGACTGTGACATATACACCGATTTCTAAACAGCGATATTTAAACGATGCTATTGTTTCCTATCCGTGTCACATTAGGGGCATTCGAATGCTTTTTTGGTTGAAAACTTAAAGCAATAACGATGGGTCTACTCCATTTTTTAAAAAAGATTATGGGCCTGCCGCCGCACGCTGTTACCTGTTGTCTATGCAATACGTGCACGTACGCAGGTATGTTGAACTTCTTTCTCGACCGTACGTCGCCAACCGTGCTAATCGGAGGTGTTGCAAATGCAAAAACTTCTAACAAATCACAAATACCATGGACATCGACATTTTTTTGCACACTTATAGCCTATACACAGGGTGGATCTGATGTTTGGTGACCCGTAATTAATTGAAACCCTAACCTTTTTTTCCCCCTTTGCATATTCAATTGTTGTAAATAAACCTTACTTAAAACAAAGTTTTAGATAATTAAAATGGGGGGTCAGAAGACATCTGGACCCCCTGTACATGTATGTATGTTGAACTTCTTTCACACCGTGCGTAGCCAACCGTGCTACTCGGAGGTGCAGGAGGACAACAAACTCATCAAAATGAGGCCAACTGCTGTTTTATATATGTACCTGTTTCCTGTTTGTAGGGGCAACATCTAAGAGAGACCTGGAAGTCGATCAAAATCAATTGGTGAACTAAATCGCATTCTGCTACTTTTCGTAGTAGAATGCAGCCGCTCCCAACAACATCCTGCCTCCTGAAGGCAGGAAACCGCCCAACAAGCTACGCCCAGCATGTCAATGCCTGATTGACGCTACTCACAATCGAGCCTCCATTCATTATCCTTGGGACAGCCCACAGTTGGGAACAGAGGTGACCATGTATTTCCAAATTTTCATGTTAATCAGATTCGTCGAGTAATCATATCGGTGATTGTTTATCAATAATCTATCGCATGAATACCTGAATAGCACAGTTCTAATCAACTGACTTGGGGGGGTTAGCGCACTGCATTGTTCAGGCAAATCTACCGAAAAGTCTCCGGCATCTGAAAGAGAATACATCAATCGAGATAGTTTGCCGAAAGGAATTGTCCCTTTAACTCCTTGAAATGTTTTTTTGTTGTTGTTGGAGAATATGAACTCGACAACCTGAGTTTTTTTTCATTCCTAGTCACAGCCAACATCGGTGGCACGTTATATCCGGACCGGCATGCACCCACCTCCCTCACCAACCCACATTGACCAGCGTGGTAAAAGTATGACCGACACGGCATTGGGGAGAGCTTAATTCAGCAATGGATTGACGAGAGCTGGAAATTATACAATCGTACTGATGCAAACCTCACGTAGAGGGAGTTTATTTCACCAAAAGGTCACCTAGGTTTTGGATTTTCTTTTGTTTATGTGGGACACGAACTTTTCCATCGCATACGAAAAGTGGGCCAGCCGAATTTACAAAACCATTTATTCTTGACACCTCACTCTTACCACACCTTGCTCTCATGGGACCTGACAAAGATCGCAAGGTAAGTAATAAACACAAACTCAATTGAGCACGTTATCAAAAGGTGGCACATCTCAAAGCATGGTGCGCCAAACACAGCATGTACAATTGTTGTGGACGCAACATCAATACATGAAAAACAATAGGTGGCCTGAGCAATCAGAATGACGGATCTCATCACTGACGCTTGGAACAATGTGTCTCAAGACCCGTCCACGTGTCCAGCCACAGGTATCGCACACAGACAGGGAATCTGCTGGCACGACGCCTGCCTTCAGTCGCTGCCGCTTTGCTCTTAGATGGCTAGGGCTGTGGCACGATTTGGCCCCCTCCAAACCCCATTTATCAGCTTGCCTACGAAGTAAAACCTTTCGAAGCTCGACTTGGCCACAGAGTGCAAAGTTACCGCGAGTAGCGCGCGTGGTGGATCGACGCAATGAACCCGTGCCCTTGGGGTGTGGGCTAGCATTGCTCTGCTCGTCGCAACCCCGCGCTCTTGTTTCAGTTCCTGGCAAGTTATATCCGGGCCGGCATGCACCCACCTCCCTCCTGGGTAGTACGTGTTAGTTCCTAATTGCCTATGCCTCAAAAGTACAGAAAATGGGCATTATTCCCCACAAACTTTGCTTTTGTGACCAGAACAGTGATAGTTTGAAATGTACCTATTTTCAATGAGAAAACGTGGTGCGCATTTGTGTCATTCCTTCACGTGAAGTCCTGATCACCATGAAGTCCTGATCACCATGGTGCCTGTGGTGACCATGCGATAAAATTAAGCAACGGCACAGCAGCGCCATAAAAAAAAAACACAAAACTCCATAAGCCAGTCTGCACCGACACGTACACCCGGTCATCGTAGCAGGATAGGCCAAACATCTCATCGAAGGACTCTCTCGGGCTCCGTAAATGTAGAGGCCCTTCCCACTGTAGCAGTGGTCAGAGAGCGATAAATTGCACTTCTGCACCTAAACTGGGTTTCTGTACACCTGCACAAGCATCGGGTTAATGCACAATGACAGAGCAGCTCCTCCATCTGAAGTCTAGAGACGAACGATGGGATTCATCTGAATGGGGGCAAATAACCGTCGTGGTGGCAGTATCAACGCTCGTTGTAAATGCTCCACACATTGTACACACAATATAAACAAGCATCCTGTTATCTTAATAATACAATACAAATGTTGCAAATAATAAGCTAATCTAATACAAATACTTGCGTGTTTAAACGTACTCGTACGATCGCTAGTAACTCGTGCACAACCTGGCTAAACATTTCTGCCATGTCGGAGCGATCTTTGGTTTTTATTGTTCTACGTAATTGTGTTGTCCTCACATTTCCACATTGCACTTCCATTTTGTTTGACGACAAATTCAAATTATTCAAAGACTGTTATTGTCGGCGACATTGCTAAAACGTGATACTCGGGGTCGGAGGCTCGTACAAAGCCTTAGAAGAATAAAAAAAAACACCAAACAAGGTTAAAAAAACGTGTTATTAATCTTCAATGTCTGTACTTGATTTCGTAAAAATGCCTCCTTTAGAAAAACATGGAAAAATAATTTACATGCAACATTTTCACATTGCTCCTGCAACACCTACATTTCTATTGAACGAGTATGCGAATTATAATATCTAATTAAGGTGCATTTGGTGAACATTCTTCGATTTCATCATCATCCATCCCTTTCCAAATCGTCATTTCCAGGTAATTCAGGGAATCTTTTGTGAAAATTGGAAATGTCTATAAATTATAGTTCCCTGGCTCATCGATCATTGCAGACCTTCGTTTACTCCAAAAAAAAAATAACGCATCCTTACAACACGTCTCTCGCTCTCCCTAACGTAAGTCTCCACAGAGGCTTTATGATTATTTCATGTACGCATGTTTTATTCCCCACGACAAATGTATGACACAACCAGAATGTTTTAAAGAGGTGGCATACAGCTATAAAGGTATAAATCAAGGACTTTTTCACAGCCAAAGTGAGACTATATTTGAATATGCTTCATATTAAATCACCATACTCTTCTTATGTACGTTAACATGAAGCCAGACAAAATGCTTCAGAAGTCTCTTTCTGTTCAAACCCAAACCTATGTACAGTTAAAAATAATAAAATGAACATGCGTCCATTACAATTGGACTGACTGTACTAATTAATTTTAAGTATTCATAACTAAATTCAGTAATGTAGTTGTCAAACCCTCTTCCAGACACCAACGTTCATGCCACATTTGTGGCTCTGAACCAGCTCAAACAGATATGAAAGTGAACAGTTTAACATCTATCTCAATGTCTCATAACATACATTTGGGTTTATTTTCGTCCACAGTGAATCTATAGAAATGTTGAAGTAACTTTCTCCAATACGTGATCATTGTGTTCCATGCTGCATTTCTAACTAAAATGCTAATTCAACCAAAATAATCATTTTTTTCTTATTTATCCCAGACGGTGACATTCTCTCCGTAATTATCTCATTTCAAGACGTCTTTGTCCCATCTACATTGAAAAAAGCCTGCCCAAGAGTTTGCACCATTTCACGCAGTTGTCCATCTTTCTTGAAATTAGTCAACTTAATTACAATTCAACATGACCTGAACCCACACCAAACCTCATGCCATGACAAATACACTATAAATTGAACACTAAAGGGTTCGTCTGAAATTTTGCATAACCATCACTATCTTGCCAAACGTCAAGATGAGCCTATATCTATTTTTTTTTCACAGGAAAATTCCTAGAATATCACAACGAAGGGCCAGCCTTACCTTCATGGCACCACTGTCAAAATTCGGGTTCATATGGACACACTGTAGCTTATATGTAAAGTTCCATGAGCTTTACCTGGTAAGATAAAACGTTTATTTTTATTTAAAAAGTATTTTTTTATTTTATGTTTTGCTTACTTTCCCTATACTTTGCACTCCCATCGTGAGTTTGTATTGTTTGTTGTCGAAAGTTTCCTACCTGCCCCTACTGGACACTTGTGAAAAAGAGCTTTGCAGCTCATCAGATTCCTCCAGTTTGAAGATTCTGACACACACACGCACACGCACGTATTCAGTGTGTATGTGGTTCGGCGGGTGGCGCATAAACCTGGCGACCGAAATTCGATTCCCTGCCATAGTTTACATCAGTGGTGAGTGATATCTGTACTGGTCCTGAGTCTTCCCTAGGTTTACTCGGCCCTAAATAAGTCCATGGCAAGGTGCGTAAACATCAGCATTGCGGAGACAAAGGAATCCATGCAGGGGTTGGCCATGCCACCTCCTCCGTGTGCCATGCCGGCCTTAAAGGTTCTCGACATTGGCATTCACCACAACAGATTGATGGCCTAAATCTAAGTTGTCTTGTGGTTGTTGCTGTCCGGTGCTGTACAGGCGATCTTTGCCTTTTGTACCTACTGCAAACATTACAATACATTGCTTTTACAAGTTTTGCTGTGCCGGTAGGTGGCTTTATAGGGAAGCTTAGTGCCAAGTAATGACAGTAATATTTGGCCAACACTTGGGTAATATGCAAAAGTTAAAGCGTGCTTTGATGTTGTTATTCAGGAAATTGCACATTTATCAACTCCAATATAAAAAATGTGACACTCTACTGCTGCCAATTTACTTATTGTATCTTCTGCACAATACATCCTTTATACGTAATTTCAATGAAAAGGATGTCACGTGGCAAAGAGCGACGTGCTGTTGTGCAATTCGCACCTGTAGTATGCAGGTAAATGTAGATACACCTCTGAAACCTTGATCTTACCACAATAACCTGTTGATATGGTAAACATATGGCAAAAATAAACAAGCAATAAAAAAATGTAAGTATACAAGCAAATTATAAACATTTGATTATATGGTTACATGTGTCGTCCAAATTTAAATTTCTCCAGAAGATGACATCTTAGGAGTTTAGTTTCAGCCGGAGTTTCCCTTGGCTGAGCTCTGGAAAAAAAATGTATCCCCCCCATTTCTTGCCACTTCTGTGAGGCAGGGGGTGGTCTGTGGATAGGAGCCCCGGAAAAAAAATATTCCACGAGAAATTGAGAAAAAAATGGAGCCCTGATCTCGGACCAGAGCGTTGGGTTAAACCATTCTTCACTTGTTCTCCCTGCAGCTCCTTGACATGCGAATACAAAAAAAGTCTGAGCTCTTCACTTGGATGCTCCCGCGTGTCCTTGTTCTTAAACAGTCTCTAGATATTCCAGTGCCACGTCGTAACAAAACTGGTATTGACTCTGCAAACAAACAAAAAACACAAACACACAAATACTTAAACATTTGCATTTTCATTACCAATTGTCAAATTGACTTCTAATGCTACACGGATCTTGTTCAGGGCCGGCCGTGCCCTGATTTCAGAGAGAATAAGATTGCTCCTATTTGAACTAGATAATTTAGACAAGACTCTCTTGCAATCACACTTAACATTGACTAGGAAAAAAATGTCTACATCTGATTGGGATCATGTAGATGACATGACAGCCTCTTCAGCCGCATCAATGTTAGCTAAATGCACTTGAAGACGATTGCTTGTGTTGCGATCGAAACGTCTTGATTTTTCTATCCACGTGACTTGACCGAAAGACCCCAAAGAGTATGACTCAATACGGTGCCTCTCTCTTCGATGCACAACTGGAATCTGGCGCCCCCTAACGGCCGAAGATTCCCATCAGGCGAGGTGTTTGTTTTTAGCGAAGTTCCTCATATATAACGAAACGGTGCCCTCTCGTGGTGCAAATGATCATTTACATCCACAGCCCAAAAAGTTCGCGGCACTGCTCAGACCAGACAGCTTTGCTGTACATTGGCCGACTGCCATTTCCGAAGGGCATTGCTAAAATGTCTTAAATAAAACAAAGACTATCTTTATTTACCCTGCAAAGCCTCACTCGGTCTCAAAGACTGCTCTCGGGAGGATCCCGGCAGGTTGTTGCCGTTGGGGGCGAAGGTTTCGATACAGATTCAAATTGACTAATTTGTGGGTATTTTCAAATTTGGACCATGGGAGAAATCCATTGCTTTAGTGAAAATGTGTATGAAGGGTGCACAATACGGACATCATCATCATGTGTTTTATATTTGTGAGTATTCACTTGTGCACTGGTTTCACGGTCCTTTTCGTTTGCAACTTGACCACAACTTTCATGGCTCCATACATTTTAAGAGGTTTTTTTTTAATTCTCTCTTATTTTTAACCAGTTCCACCCATTAAGTGTTGGCTATATTTTGACGCTGTTTACAGTGGGAAAGTATCACCCCGAGAAGCGTCTGATCTTATCAGATCCCAGAAGCTAAGCACGCTTGAATCTGGTTAAGTGGAATAACCAGGTATTTATATTCTCTGGGTCTTTCGGTAAAAGTCACGTCGATAGAAAAATAATAATAAAATAAAAGATAATAACAATATCACGACGTTTCGATTGCAACACTAGCAATCGTCATCAGGAGAAAAAAAACGAGGGCCTTTTTCCCTCTCTTTTTACCGAAAGACCCAAAGAATATGAATTCCTACAGTCACGAAAGCTTTAAGTCAAGATTTAACAAGGTATTGTTGACTTAGGTTGCAAGGTGGCAAGATGGCAGATGAATATAAATGCGCAGGCAGTGTGAAGTTCATATTTATGAGTTTCACCTAATAATGATAATTGGTAAATACGTCGATTATAAGCGATTATAATCGAAGTATTTATCAAGGAAAGCCATTGGACACCTTTCAGGAGGGTCCTGGGTTGTTTTTTTTTAAGGTCTTCTCAACCAATGAATGTTTATGCAAGTGGAAAAAGCACCGAGTTCTCCCACAACGTGATGAAAATGGGCAAAACAATGAAATCCAGGACCCACGGGTCTCTAGTTTGAGTGATTAACACTGTTGTTAACCATGACCCAGCTCACAGTATCGTTGCTTCAGAGCCGTCTTGGACTTACGAGAGTCTCCAGCATGTTTGGCTTGTTGTTTCGAAGTGACTTGACAGCGTGGAAAACGTCGACGGCATTCTGTCTCTTGATCATCTCGGACACGACACTCACGGCACAGAAGGTGCCACACTGGCCAGCTCCATTGCTGCGTCGGGGATCATAAGTCACACGTGCGACGGACGTTTCAAGGAAAACCAACGCAAATGCAGCGTAACCTGATATAAAGTTAAAATACTCATTTTAATTCTTGGTTCTTTCGGTAAAGTCACGTAGAAAGGAAACAATAAAATAATAAAAATAAAAATATAAAACAATAAAATTCTCACGACGTTTCGACTGCAACACAAGCAATCATCATCAGGTGTGAAAACCACAACAAGAAAATTTGAAATTTTCTTGAAATTTTCTTGTTGTGGTTTTCACACCTGATGATGATTGCTTGTGTTGCAGTCGAAATGTCGTGAGAATTTTATTGTTATATATTTTTATTATTTTATTGTTTCCCTTCTACATGACTTTACCGAAAGAACCAAGAATATGAATCCCTGCAGTCACGAAAGCTTTACATCAAAATTTACTTATTTTAAGTTAAAACAAATACTCTGTTGCCTTCTGTACTCAGATTAAGTTAAATATCTGCATTATTTAAACTGGCATTACTCTTTGTTTTAGAACATTGCATTTTTTAAATCCAAAAAAACATTTTATTAACCGCCCCATTTACACTCTGCTCAACTCAACCTATTCCTAGGTACGCGGCATATTAATGTATTTTTCATCATTTAAATAAATACAATTTATATATTATTAAGCTGAGTGATATGGTTACTGAATAAAAAGAATGCCATTGACCAACATAACCATTTATTTAACTAGACTTGTGTAAATAGCCATTATTTTTTCAACTAATTCCGTAATAATAATTTGGTACATATGGTATTCACTCTATTCCTGTATCGCAAGGCTGCCAAGAAGGTGCTACGTCTCACAGACGGGTATAGTCTACCAGTAGTTAGCGCTTTTGCATTGTGGTTTAGCCCAACTTAAGCAATTAGCCAGCACGATTCAAATTGGGCACACATTTACAGCAACGTCGGCAGACACGGTCTACTCTTTTTCGCGTTACGTTACTTGATCCACTGCCGAAGCATGCAGCGCGTATATTTACGGTTAACAGACGCGCAGTATTAATCAGGGCGGCCGTTGGGCTCGAACCGCAAATTTTCTACAACGATGGTAAAGCGTCTTTTGATGCCTCGTGCGAATTGCTCTATGGGAAAAACCGAGATAATTCTCATCATTATTATTTGCTGTGGCCATAAGGGAAAGGGGAGGGAGAGACAGAAGGCGGGGGGGGGGGGGTTGGTGAGAGGGGGGGGGGGAGGGTTGGTGTGGTCGGGGTGGGTGGGGGGGGTAGAGACGATGGCGCTCACAGGCAGTGCACCACCGTGCGGCCGTCCATGCCATACTCCTCTCGCCAGCGCTCGGCCGCCAGCACGAGGCGCAGGAACGAGTGCCGTGACGTCGGCACCTCCCGCCCGGCAGGCCAGCCCAGGTAGTGGAACTGCTCCACCATGCGGCAGCCATCCTGCGGCTGCCGGACCGCAAAGTGTTTTGCCATTCGTCATTGTTGCAACGTACCGTCGGCCAAGGTCGATCCACTGCTGGATTGAAGGCTTCCCACCCCCCCACCCCCTCTCCCCCGCAAGCTCGCAGAAGCGTTCCGTGCCTTGGCTGGCATTGGCACCGTCGTTATTCGCCGGCCATTTTCCATGATACATTTTGGTGATGCGTGTGTGTGTGCACGTATGTAGAACTTATTTCACACTGCACGTAGCCAACCGTGCTAAATCGGAGGTGCGGGGGGAAGGACAACAAACTAAACACAAAAACGAGTTCTAAAGACATTTAGTTCTCAATCTGGATTTAAAAGTGTTTCGCTCGCCCACTTTTACAAATCGTGTACAATTTGAAAGGCATCGTATTGGCCATCTGAATCAACGGCCAGCCTTAAACCTATTTTTTTTCCATGGCCAGTGGCAACTGGGCCGGAATGGGACATTCGGCATTTCCAAGGCAGCCTAGCCTGGCTGTACTGATCCCATAGTCCAAGATATAGACAATTGGGTTAAATTCTTGACCTGAACTAAGGCCAGTGGGATTATTGATATTATAATGGTGCAAGCGAGTGTGAGGGTTACTGGCAGGGTGGTACTGCAAGTGAGTGGCTCCTCTCTCTTCTCACCCTCTCTTCTGTTTCCCAGCCCTCTCTATATTTTCCCACATTTCTTCTTGCTCCTCACTTATCTCTTTTTCATCTGGGATAAATATCAAACCCGGGCAAGTCTACATAACTAATCAGCCACCCAGGGATCAGATGGACACAGAGCAATAGGTTTATGGAGAAGGCAGTGACCGCATTTCACAGGTGCTGATCAAATCAGAATTTCTATAAATGAGTCAGCTAGACTGCAAGACAAATACTAACAACAGCCAACACTTGGCCAGATGACCGAAGGTGACTGCTGAAGATGACCGCAAGTAGTATGTGGCAAAATCTTGAAAGAAGAAACTCTGAACAAAAATCTGATGCATAATAATAGGTTTTACCGTTTCTGGCACCCGTTTTATTGCCAGAAAGGTTCAAACCTATTCTTATACTTGAATACTAGCAAGAAGGGTCCGTTGTCAAAGAGTTTGTGTGTTTTGAACCACGGCGTTCTTACCCGGGCCACGTTACAGATGCGGAAAGTTCTTGTTATGATGTCTCCTTCCATGTTGAATGCCACAAACTCTACCTGGATGGGTCCGTGGCAAAGCATGCCCTCTTCTGGCCAGTACTGAGGACAGTACTGCAACGGAGCATGGCCAGACAGAATTGTTAGAGCAATCGTTCACCTGGGAAACTCAAAAACAAGTCACATGCCCACTCCCTTTTTGACACAATCCAAAAAAGTTTCTGCTAAACTCAACTTGACAGCATATGCAATAACACAAATGACACATTTCATACTTTTTGTTTCAAATACTATTAGGCATTGCTCTTATTACTTAATGTCTATACCCAGTAAATGAATATAACCCATCCAAGCTGTGCAGCGGGAGAGCGTGCGGCTTGCGATTGGAAGATTGCGAGTTCAAATCCTGGTTGGGGTCATTAAAATGAGTGCCACTTTGTGGATAAGTCAAGATATGGTAGTGGTTTTTCTATGGAATGACTCGTTCCGCCCCATAGCAATGTGGAAATGACCACCACTTGCTTGTCGGTAAAAAGAAGGGGAGCCACTGCTCCTTTGCTCAACTGAGCAGGAAACCACGCTGACTTGGACTTTCAAACATGTACTTCATGATGACACCGTTAAGCTTCAGGAGTGCACATTGTGCATTAATAAATTAGCCACATGAGGCAGCACCATTTAGGGCACCGCAGTGGCTAGGAGGTGTTAACTCCCTCGCCTGGTATACAGGTCGTGGATTCGATCCTGGCCCTGACGCCTGCTGTATATTTGGAGTTTGCGTGTTCTCCCCCACGGTCGCGCGAATTTTTCTCCGGGTCCTCTGGTTTTTCCCTCCACATTTAGAAAAAATGTGTCTAAGAGTGTTTGGCTGCTATCAATTTCCACATGATAAGCCACCTCGTTGAGCTATTGCTTGTGGCCAGGTCGCTTCTGTAAATGAGCTACATAGCTCATTTGGCATTACCTGGCAAAATAGAAGATTAAAAGTTTAGCTAAAACTACGAATTTGCGAGCAAGTTGTTCATAAAACATAATTTTGCATCGCCTGTAGCCCACGTAGATTAGCGCACCGTAGGAGAAATACCCAGGACGTGCTGCACTCTCGTACCTTATTGGAGTCCAGCTCGTTGAGCATGACGATGGAGGTGCAGTGGTAGTCGAATACCAGCCGCCAGAAGTCCTTCACGGTGTTTGGCAGTGGGTGCTGCGTTACGATGAATGCCGACGGTTGTCTGTAACTCTGAACGGAAATTAATTACGTGAGAGGTGGACAACATTGCATGACAACTATTACAATCAACGTTATTAAGTCACTGTGGGCAGCTTAATAAAAATGTGCCCATCACCGACTTGCCTCCAGCTAAACCTGATTTAGCAAAATTCCAAGGTCGGCTGCAGTGCACAAACTGAAGTCATGATTGATAGCTGTGCAACGCAGCTGCTGTTGTATTTTTGGCTACAGATGACCTTGTCACTTTTCCGTAATGCAATTAGGCTTCGGGACGGGTGGCGCACTGCGGCAGATGTTCTCGTCGCCCTGATCCACACGCACGTAACAGGGTTTCAGTTAGGGGCAACAAGCTGTTATCGGCCTAAATTTGCATCCTTCCATCATAAATACCACTTGTGTAGAATTTTTTAGTGATCCATGGTTTTTTTATATATAAATAACAAAAACACAACTATTTAAAACACAACCGGTTGTTTATATTGTAAAAGAACAAAACCACGAATGGAAAATGGCAGCACGATAGGGGCGACCCTAGGCAAAGAAATGGTTTGTGAAAATTAAATGCGAAAGCAATTGTAAAATACTAGCAACCTCCCGCGAGCCAGCAACATTCCTACTGCATGCAATGTGAAAAGCACCCGTCCTTGGAACGACGGCCCCAATGTCCCCACCCCTGAGTGCCACCCTCTCAAGAGTGACAACCCTCAGGGCTTCACCCCTTGCCCCCGTCCATGCTGTTACCCGCGTGGCACCAGGCACTGGGTGATGCGTAGCCAGTCACGCAGCCCGCAAAGCTTTTTTTAATTATATAACAGCACTGCCCGGGGGTTTTTTGGTGTTGCAGCGACGCACGAACTCCGCTCAATGCTGTGGCATGCGGGTGATTCCATCGCGTCGGTGTTGGCGGTAACTTCACCACCGCGTGCTTTCTCCATTCGCAAGCCAGCCGTCAAAACTTTTTTGTTCTAGATATAGTTATGAATATGATCCGCGGTGGACGTGCTGTGATGTTTGCCAAGGGAAGAACAGGTGTACATGGCCACGTTTTCCAAGGGAAATGTCTACAAATGTATTTTATTGTGCTACATTTCAAGTATAAATCATTAAAACCAAAGGATGAATTGCTACATGTTAGTGCAAAAAATCCAATCCAGGAAACCCATGCATAATATAGCGATCCATTTACAGATGCCCAATTAAAATAGTGGGGATACATTCTATGAAAAACAACATTATAGTTCAAATCCTCGACAGGTCTTGCATGAATCTCAACAACTTATTACATCTTTTAATATTCCTGCAAGATATGGAACCATCGCTTGCACATTTAACCACTCGTTGAGAAGAAGGTCATTATAAATCAGGGGGGAATCTTGGAAATGAATAGTCCTGCATGTAACAAAGCAGGCAAGGCAGCGTGGAGTTACGCACGGACAAAACCGCGCCAAATAACACAGCCCACGTTCGCGAGCGTCGCGTTGTACGTGTATAATATACACGTATGCATGTTGAACTTCTTTCGCACCGTACGTAGCCAACCGTGCTAATCGGAGGTGCGGTGGCTTTCTCTGCCATTCGCATCACGGACCCTCGTCATCCTCCTGATCGTCCCCTGTTGGAGACGTTTCCCCAGCCATCCCTCCCCTCGCACAGCGGGGCCGCACCGCGGCGCGTCCCTCCGCTTACGTCCATGAGCGCCGCGTTGATGTAGTTGCTGCTGTCCCCGTTGATGGTGATGAGGAAGGGCAGGCAGCGGTCGGGGGGGAGCACGTCGTGGTAGCGGTTCTTCTCGTGGTTCCGTGGCAGCAGGGCGATGCTGCAGTCCTCGACGCGCAGCGGCGGCGTCACCATATTCAGGGTCTGCGGGGTTAAGGGGACAGGAGCACTGCGGTGTCTCCCTTCGCTCTTACAGTGCGGTGCGTTGTGGTGGCGAGATGTTAACCACCTCGCCTGGTATTAGGGTCGTGGGTTCGATCCCGACCGTGACGCCTGCTGTAAATTTGGAGTTTGAATGTCGCTCTCGCCGTGGTCGCATGGATATTTCTCCGGGTCCTCCGGGTTTTCCCTCCACATTTAGAAAGAGTCTATAAATTTCCACGTGATAAGCCACTTGGTTGAGCTATCATTTGTGACCAGGTCGCTTCTGAAAAAGAGCTGTATAGCGCAGTCGGCCTTACTTGGTGAAATAAAAAAGGTTAGTTTAGCCTTGCTCACACCACTGCTGGTGGTAGGACCTCCACTGAAGGGAGTCCAAGGGAATGCCTGTGTAGTGGGTTCCGGAGACACTTCGGATAGGTACCTTCTTTATTATATACAGCACTCCAACAGTCCTCCTCATACACTGTTACAGCCTAGAGACACAGCATACTCCTAGCGTGCCGTGACACTGGCAACGCTCTCGGGTCCTCCGCTATAATCACCCTAGGGGAGGCTACCCCTGACCCCACCCAGCCAAGGTGCGGGTCTAGACCTCTGGCTTCCTCGGACCTCGCCCTTACAAGGGCACGGGGCCGGGAGTCCCAGAGTCTCACCACTGGCCCAGAGTCCCACCACTGGCCCAGAGTCCCACCACTGGCCCAGAGTCTCACCACTGGCCCAGAGTCCCACCACTGGCCCAGAGTCCCACCACTGGCCCAGAGTCTCACCACTGGCCCAGAGTCCCACCACTGGCCCAGAGTCCCACCACTGGCCCGCACAGCGCCCCGGCCCTTACAAGGACAGCGGGTCGAGGGGGTCCAGGGTCCCATCTAGCTGGTCTTTGGCTTCGGTCTTCAACTGGTCCCCGATCGGCTAGGGTGGTCCCATTGTATGCCCCTTGCCCATTGAGGGGTGGGGCTTCGAGGGATCCTAGACCCCCCCCCCCCCGCAGCCCCCCCCCCCCCCCCCCCCCCCCCATTGGGGGCGCCAAGGGGCTTAGCTGTCTGGGGATCCTGAGCCCCCAGCAGCCCCCAGCAGCCCCCAACAGCCCCTCCCCTCTTGGGCTGGCGCTGCAGCCCCTCCCCTGACAGTACGAGGTACCGTTCCATTTATGGTGCTACACCTGTAGAGGATATTTTGACTGATCTGCATGCTGACCAGGCATCTCAGACATACCCACACTTTACTCTACCACACAGTCCGAAGGGGGGGAATTTAAGAAACTTCGACCATTGTTTCATCTGCTGGGCCAGGAGATCGAAAAACATTTTTACGTCGTATCCAGTGTGCAAATACGGTGGATGGTGCTGCATTTGGATGTTTGGCCAATGCCACGAATGAGTGTTTTGGCTTCGTGTTGGAGGAAACCTGAGAACCGAGAGGAATGCGACCACATGTACAAAGGCGGTGAGATGCTCAGCAGTGCCTGTGCCAGCCACCTTGCAGCTCCACGCCTACAACACCTGGCAAGCCTTGGTTGTAAATCGACAAAGTACTATCCAGGCTGAGACCGACGTTACCTTCCCGCACCTCCGATTTAGCACGATTGGCTACGCGCGGTGTGAAAGAAGTTCCACATACATACGAATCTCTCAAGATCTGATAAGATCGAGTGCATTTAGACGATGCATTAAAGAATAACATATAGTAGAGTATATTCAAGATGGACTGCTTAATATCTCTCCTGGGTTTAATGCAGTTGGGTTTTGGAAGAGCTCGCAATTAATTGAGGGACTTGGACACAGTGCTATTTATTGAGTTACTTGGCATGCAAACAAATTGGTGTTGGCTGGTTTATGTAGCCAACATGTCCAGCCACTGCATACCCAAGCAACTTCTGTTTGGAAATATACAGGACTAAATTTCAGCCAGGTCTGTGCGGGTTGGCGACTCTGTAAATAATTATGAACCTGGCACACCACACCCAGTAAACCTGAGGCTAGTAGCCACATACCTACTCCAGTCTATCGGTGACTTGGAAAATATTCAAAGAGAAATAAACCCATAAATGGGTATGGTAAAGGCTGGAAAACAGGAGGATTTGGAGCTGAATTGGCAAGCCAATAATTGGTACCAGAGTCTCATGATTGAGCTCTATAAAGGGGTGGCATGAAATGTGCTACTTGACGGCTGGCAACAGCTGCACTCCAGTTTAACACGTAGGCTTTCGCGACCAATATTATTCATAATAAAGGTTTTTGGGCTAGATCGCGTTATTTATAAATGTGTCGTAACCCTCCACCACCCAACACGGCCAATCAGCAAAAAAGTGTCACGTTGACAAAAGACAATTAGTTCACTACTTTAGCCCACTGGTGTGTTGAAGAGTGGATCCACAACATTTATAGTTTGACTACGACGTTTCGCTGGTAATTACATCCAGCATCATTGGGCAATTCGCCAGAATGGTAAAGCCCTCACTTACTCCCGGTCTTAAATAAGGTTCCAGTGAATTAATCGCTTAAATTACTTGATACACTAGTAAAGAATACAGGTTTACCAAAAGATATTCCGAAACTTGCTGACCATTGTTTAAATAACACTTACTTTTTATGGAGAGGGGATTGCTTTAAACAAAAGGAAGGAGCAGCAATGGGCTCTCCTTTATCTCCTGCTATAGCAAATCTGTACATGGAAAACTTTGAAATAAGAGCACTTGCCTCGAGCACATTAAACCCATCTTTTTGGTTTAGATATGTGGATGACACTTTGGTTGTCTGGCCACATGGTAAAGACACTCTTATTGATTTTCTAAATCATCTCAATGCACAAAATCCGGCTATCCAGTTCACCATGGAAATGGAGGTGAATAACACACTCCCGTTCCTAGATATTTTTCTTGGACATGGCTTAAACGGTAAAATAACACAGCATTTACAGAAAGCAAACGCACACTGATGCCTATCTGAATGCAGATTCGCATCATCATCCAGCTCAGAAATCCTTTCTTATCAAGACGCTCATACATCGGGCTAAAACAGTGTCAGATGGTGAAAGTCTAGTGAGAGATATCAAACACGTTAAAGACGCATTACAACAGATTGGCTACAATAATACTCAAATTAGCAGAGCACTGAATGCCAAATCACGATCGCAAAGCAACACTGCTGAAAGCGATCAGATTTTTTAAACAATTAAAATTCCTTATATCTCAGGAGTAACTGACAAATTAGCCCGTGTTTTGCAAAACATTACAGTAAGATTTGGTACAGTACACAAAATTCAAAAACTAGTATCTTGCACTAAAGACGAATTACCTAAATTATCAACAGAAGGTGTATATCGGATTAATTGTTTATGTGGCAGATGCTATATTGGACAGACGGGACGTAACATCAGCATAAGACTAAAAGAACACCAAATAAATATTAAATTATCTCAATCACAACTGTCGGCAGTGGTAGAACATGCTTGTCAACAAGGACACTCAAATGATTTTGATAGCGTTGAAGTGTCGTGTAAAGCTAATTATTACTGGCAAAGACTAATTAGAGAATCCAGTGAAATTGAGAGAAATAAAAATAATTTTAATCACTCTGATAGCTATAGGCTTAGTGCGGCTTGGAAGCGTATTATTAAATAATACATATTACAATTCCTTATAGGAGAAACACATACTAATTAACGGATTACTAACGTAGCATATATTCACAATAACACACATTACAACTCATTACAAATCATAACCATTGACTGATTACCAATCGATTCTATAATTACTGCACCTGAATGAGTTAAATGATGACGTCACCCTGCTGCTCTATTTAAGACCGGCAGCAAGCGAGGGCTTTACCATTCTGGCGAATTGCCCGATGATGCTGGATATAATTACCAGCAAAACGTCGTACTCAAACTGTAAATGTTGTGGATTCACTCTTCAACACACCGGTGGGCTAAAGTAGTGAACTATTTGTCTTTTGTCAACGTGACACTTTTTTTGCTGAGCTGCACTCCAGCAACGAGAGGCAGAGACGTCATAACCCCAACAAAAGCCAGGGTGTCAGGTGGCTAACACAGACAAGTGGCACGGTGAGGAGTGAAGGTGGTGCACAGTTACCCCACAATAACATCTGCTTCTTTGCTGTGACCGCCTGCCTTCAGAATGTCACATGGTCTTAAAGTGCACCTAGCCTGGCAAAAGCTTGGTGGTGACACCACTGTCATTCATTGCTGAATGGTCAATATTGTTGATGTTGTATGCACATGTATGAGTCTATGAGGCTTATTAGCAACAGATTGAAGAAACCTATTCATTGTTTCAACTGCCACGCCATTGACGACCTCCAGATTATAAGTCTTGTGCGATTTAACCAGTGCACAGTTACCCCACAATAACATCTGCTTCTTTGCTGTGACCGCCTGCCTTCAGAATGTCACATGGTCTTAAAGTGCACCTAGCCTGGCAAAAGCTTGATGGTGACACCACTGTCATTCATTGCTGAATGGTCAATATTGTTGATGTTGTATGCACATGTATGAGTCTATGAGGCTTATTAGCAAGAGATTGAAGAAACCTATTCATTGTTTCAACTGCCACGCCATTGACGACCTCCAGATTATAAGTCTTGTGCGATTTAACCATTGCACCGTGGCAGCTCCTGTGGCCAAAGGGTGACCATCAACCAATTCTGGCACGTTCTGTAAATGTGACGGTCGCTGGCTGCGCTGTTCCCGTCGTACCTGAAACTCGTCCTTGATGTGGTTGGAGCTGCTCTGTGGGTCGGGGCGCAGCATTTCGGCGTATGCCGCACGGAAATCTCCAGCAGGGATGCAGGTGTCCCCACACAGGCACGCCTCCAGCATGGCATCGTGGATGAACACGTACTGCTCCTGCACGCGGGCGTGGGACACGGGGATTTAGCGAGACAAATAATACACACGACAGCGGGTGACGGCTGGAAAATGAAAGGCCGTAATCGTTGCACTGTGTGTGGTATTCTGCGAAGTGAATCCGAACTAAGCATGGCACTTTAAAAAAATCGGAGCTAAAAGATATAACGATCCATCAAAGGATTTCTACTCAATGTCAGGTTTCTCAGTTGTGCTCTCTGTAGCTCTCTGATGTGATTTCGGGATGTAGCAAGTGCTGTTCGGCTCCACATGCTTGGGAGGAGCTTCTTGAGGAACCGAAACTGACGAAGCTTCTCCCAGCACGTGGGATGATGAAACGCAACCCAGGGACGCATTGCATAGCAACATTGCCCCCTACGACGAAAACATGGCAGGGGCCCCTGCCATAAAAAAAAGAGTTGAGACATGGTGAGGCTTTCTCACGAAAATGAGTTTCATAATAACAACAACTGCGATCAGAGAGGCATCGATCAAGTCAAAGGGAATGCAAGCGCCGTACCTCTGTCTGCACCATGTTGACGCGCCTGGTACGCAGCTCCCGCACGCAGTTGTAAATGTCGATGACGCCCTCACTCTCTGCCATGTCCAGCATGATGTCGATCACCATGTAGCAGCCGGTCCTGCCAGCCCCAGCACTGCATGGCACCCGGCACCAAAGCATCGTCGCGTACGCGTCACGTCTCAAGGAATACCCTCGTCACTTCAGAGTCACGGGATGCCTTTCACGACGTCTGAGTGTCTCTTCGCCGCGGCCGTGCAATGCCATTCTCGCGTCGTTCGTTGTTTGCTGTACGCCTGTTGTGTGTCACGCACTCGGCCCTATTTATTTATTGCAGTGGCAACACTGCCAGCTGCTGCCAATGTTTCACGATTAATGTTAGGGTCAGCCCCAGAATTTGTGTCTTTACTCACAGCCTTTGATTACAAAAAAAGCAGCGGGAAACTAATAACAACTTTCCAAGGTTAGGATTAGTTCTTTTCCTCTGGGGGTGTTTACTAAGTGGTGTACATTAGTCTCCTATTTCTGATATGCAAACTCATTTAATAACCCCCCCCGACCCCCTCTTTTCTCCAAAAATGAACTCACTCTTGCCTACGTGACTGTTAAATGTTTATGTGCCTCAGTTACTTGGGTTTCCTTAAAGTCCTCGGGTTTTTTTCGCAGGGTTTTTCAGTCGGTCTAACCGATGCTTCTGGAGTTGATGTGTACAATTACACTCGCCACATTACGACGGCACACCTACTACGAAACCAACGTTGCTGCATTGCTTCGAGACCACTCTCGGATTACCTCTACACCACTTACACATCACAGCAACATGGCCACATAGCATCACGATCACTCACGCCACTGTAATAATAACACCACCTACTCCGTCACATCTACACTAACACCATCACACCAACGGGTTCATCCTCCACTCACTGTATCCACTCGTCATTGTTTTGTTATATTCATTTTGTTCTTGGACAAATTTGTGTTGTTCTTGTGGCCTTCATTTCACCACTTTTGTTTGTCTTGGAATGGCCTGCAAATTCTCCGAATTGGGAAAAGAATAACAATAAAAAGAATCGCAATTTGCAATTCACGTGTGGCCGGTTCCACAAAAAAATACAGAACCGTCCCTGCACGACTCACGGCACACTTGTGAAATGGCCCCAAGTGGTCTAAATTGTAACTTTCCAGACGAGCAAATGCCAGTCACACTCCGCACATAAATGTGCGCTGCTTTCTTTACGCTGCATTTCCGTTTAAGCAAGACAAGAAGAATGCACATGGCTAATGATGTATATGTGTTAAATTAAAGTTGACATGCTCTTTTAGAGTGTATAAATAATGTAATATGCATGTATCCCTTGAGAAAAAAAGGGCCATGGCTCCTCAGCTGGGCTCTTATGCGATTCTAAATAAAGACTTGCTGGATTGATTGGGTCACAGGGAGAAAAGGTTGCAATATTAATGCAACACAAAATCATTAGTGACACACCCACGGGGGTGCTCTTGAGAGATTGCTAATTTTACTAGGTTGTCGTTCCAGGACCACCGTTAAGAATCCAGTCGGGCAGACGCTCAAGTGTGTGCGAGTCCGCTAAGCGATACGCCTACTGTTTGTCAGAAAGCTCTGAAATTTAATTGAAAGGAAAAAAATCACCCGGCGAGAGTCGTGGAGGTCATCACAGCCATTGTCTTTGATGCCAGCACGCATCACCACTCTCCCTTCTTTACTGTTGGGAGATGCCACAGCTGTTGTAAAGTTTAAACCCCATTCTCTTTATATAATCCCACCTCTGACTTTAGGTCTTCCTCTCCGTTTCCGATCTCTGGGTGCTACTCGCATGTCTGTCTTCACAAGTTGCCCTCTTATATGCTTCACAAGGCTATGGTTTTGGCATGGAGGTCACATTGGTCACGAAAGGCACACATTTGAATAATTTGCACCAAACATTTGGCGGGTAGGAGGGAGGGGAGGGAGCGAGGGAGGGAGTGGCATAGGGCTGTCCCCCTATGCAAGTTGGGAGCACCATATTTCCATCGTATTTTTTATTGAAAAGCCCCCCCCAAAATTAAGAATATTGCCTAAGTTAGCCATTTGAGTTTAAGAAAGCAAAATTCGACAGGTAATTTCCACAGTTTATTTTGATTTAGAGAAGAGTATTGTTAAGTCACTGAAAAAGAAAATGTTAGGGAGGCCACTGCCCCCCACCCCCCCCCCCTCCCCGTATTCTTTCACCTTTACGTGAGTGTTTTTACCCCCACATCTGGGTGATGAATGTTACTAAATATTACCATGACAAAGTGGAGCCCTATCCATATCTATCCCAAGGCAACTGCAACCTTATATTCCTAACCGCAATACTGCCTTGCCGAGTTCTACACAGTATCCTGTGACCTTTCATCGACTGCCAATTCATTTGAACCTGGCTAATATATAGACCTCACACGAAACAGCAACTGATTCCGCATCACAAACGGTCCCGGTGCCAGATCCTCACCTGCAGTGGACAACCAGAGGCCCTGCGTGTGGCGGGTCGAGGGCCTTGATGCGGCGGATGAATGCGAGCAGTCCCGTGGCGTGGTACGGCACCCCGTGGTCAGGCCAACCCGTGAAGTGGAACTGTCGCACCTCCCGGATGTCCTCCTGCCCTGCCTGCAACAACAACAACAACATCGTCAACCATGGTCAATCCACTGCTGGATGAAGACTCCCCCAAGCCGTAACTACCTCGCCTGGTATACATGAGGTCGTGGGTTCGATCTCGACCCTTGACGCCTGCTGTAAATTTGGAATTTGCAACTTCTCCCTGTGTTCACATGGATTTTTCTCTGGGCTTTCCCTCCACATCTAGAAACATGATATACATTTCCACGTGATAAGCCACTTCATTTGTGGCCAGATTGCTTCTGAAAAAGAGCTGTATAGCTCAGTGGGCCTTACCTGGTAAATACAACATCGTTTTTACTATATCGTTGTTTAAGCTCATGGCCCAGTGATGTCGCAATCCATCTAATATCTGCACAAACGCCGATTTAATTTCCTCGCCACTCTGGAGCAAGTTCCATCCTTTGGCTGCCACTCTTGATGTCAGTCTTGACCACAGGGCATAATACATTCTAGCGACGTGTTCTACCCAAATATAAGTTCCGTAATACCGTTTCCTGCCCAAAATTAAATAAACTCCTTTAAAAAACTTTTTTTTAAAACAACTGTTTTATTCACAACTTCGTTTAACTCACGGTCGAGAAGTACGTGAATGATGCGGCGCCTGCTCCCACATCAACGCTTACTTGAATTAATTGGTTATTTTATAAATGAATCACAAAAAAGGACGTTGGTATGCTAGCTCCAGTCACACGGTCGCACTACATCGATGGGGTAAGGTTAGGGCCATCGAGGCTGGATACCATATGGGACCGCCTTATTTATTAGCAACAAAAACACAAAGGCACGTTGTGGGGCCCTACTTTTTGTGAAGCCTGGAGCAAATTACTCCTTTTGCTACACCCCACTCTGCACAACCCTGGCTAGGGTTCTCTTGCATCCAAAAGTGAACACTTTTTGTGGTCAAGGATTAAGAACAACATTCAAAAAGCAGGCCCAAACTACATTAGCTTCACAGCCATTATCTCGTATCACAATTCCATACATATAAAGAACCCATGAAATCCCTTTATAACCAAGCTGGTGAGGTTTGCACATAAATTTGTAAGCAGGATTTTAATATTTCAGGTAAACGTAACACCATCCATTTATATTTGATGTGCATTTTCAACAAATTAAGGGTGACGTTAGTCATAGCGATACACCTGTGTATTAGTCTTCGTGATATGTTTATTTCAAAACATAATTTGCAGCCCATTTTCAAACCACTTCTGGATGGATTCCCCCACACAGTGTCAGTTATGGGGGTTATCTGACCACACTTCAGCAAGCTGGTCAGTGTACATTGGCAAAGGGGAGAAGGGCACATAAATGGGCCACTTGCACAGATGCCAGGTATGGGCAGGAATGAAACTGTTCACCAGGTTCAGAGCACAGTGAGCTGACTCCACTCGTGCAGTGGAATCGTGACGGAAGCTGCTATACTCAATCGGTGTTTGAATCGCCTATTTTTGGAAACCCGGAGTTTTGAAATGTTTTCACTTTGTCAAACGTAACCTTGCGTTGGATGCGACGTTAATTTGATTGTCCCATCTGCTTGCAAACATTAATTAAGAGTAGTTCACCGTGTGTCAGTTTGATGGCCAAATTAGCCACCTGCTTTGGATAATTTCTCACGAAACAAATGGGACTTCCTAGCAAACATGGAAGATGCATGCAAATAAATGCTGCCACTGTTAGTACGTGAATGTATTTATCCATACATCTTCATTCTTATTAATACAGAAAGTGAACATTACTTGAGGTAGATGAGAATTCCAGTGGGTGCATGAACAACAAATATAATATTAATACCCTTTATTAAACGAACAAAATACGTTTACCTTCACAACATGGATATATAAAGTGACCAAAAAGGTAGCCCAAACGTAGATGCACGAAAAAGCAAATAAATAATCTAGGAAACAAATAGAAATATGAAGCGCGAACAACTAAAAACAAAAACCCATCAAAACTAACATCCAAGCGAAGCAATGTGCGCGTAGTCCCGTCGACACATAATCTTACGCCAGCCAAAAAGGATAACCGCCCCCCCCCGAGGCAAAGTGAACACAAGATGTGGCTGCGGTAGATTTTAGCGAAACGGCTTGACGCGTACGTACCCGCTCCACGCGGAACGTTCGGATGATGTATTCCGACAGCATCTCCGTGTCTGCCAGTGTCACCTTGATGTCCCCATACACGTCACTGCCATCGGGCCAGTACTTGCAACACTTGATCTGGCGGATAAATACAATGAGCACATACATTTTGCTATTGAGTACAACTGTGGGTATAACAGTAGTCACAAGGGCTGGCAGGATGCCATTGTTTTTTACGATAGGATAGTACATTTCACGATCTATTGACAATGATCACCATCAGTTTCCTGTACCTTTGCAATTGTTTAAAAGAAAACGTGTATCGTCTAGTTTTTGGTGCTGTGATGTTCTTAATGTACGAATAAAGATTGATTTAATAGTGGATTCGACTGCAATTCACTCAACATATGTCTGCCCTGAGACTTTTTAATCACTGTAACTTTGCAAGCTATAGAATAATGCTTATGATGTGCGTGCTGCCAGAAATGATGATGTCATATATTGGACACACCGTAAATTATGCCTTGAATAAAGGTGTCAATTTTTTGTGCCAGTTAAAAGGGTAAAACCTATTCCTATACTTTACGAAGAATTAATTTAAGAGGTGAGAGCTTGCTTTTTACTTACATTATTGCAAACTTCATTATTATTTCACGTCAGAAAATAGAAATTGAATGGAAAGTAAATGAGTAACGATAATTACACCACGACGACATTCTATAGAAAAAACAACTCGACAATTATCGTGGACGTTGCGTCGGACAAAATCTTGGAGCATCGCTCCATCGCGGCAACAACAGCCACGCGCGTGTGTTCGTTTCATTAAAGGATATGCGAATGAGATGGTAACATTAGGAGAATGCAACAATATGGCATCGTTCAGACCGTAGCTCCTGTATTCAATAGCAACCAACTTAACCATCAACTCTGCAATTTAATTCGCCACGGTAATAGTGACAGCGTAAGAGCATTGAGCTCTGCTTGAGTTTCAAGGCTGGAATAGAATTGAAATGAGCACTTTCAAATTGAGATAAAACGCTGTTTTCGTGTCGCTATAATTTCACTTCAATTAAGAATGCTTGTAGATGTGTACATTACACCAATGCAGAATATTGTACTGAGATCAATTGTTCTGTATTGTGCAATGAACTGTTTTCGGTGATTAATTATTTCACACTCCCATTTGAGAATGACTTCAAAGGTTAACGTTTGTAACGCAGTAGAATTCAATTAATACTAATAAATGCCAAGCATGCTGCTATCTAATGGTTAGCACACTGGACTTGCAATCCAGAAGTCGCCGGTTCAATCTCTCGATGGGACAGTTGAAACAATGGACACGTTTATTAAATGCCCCCCACCACTGTCCACCCAGGAGTATAAATGCGTCCACCACAGTTAAGATAGCGGTGGGTCACGTGTGGTAACTACCACCTCTTCCAAGAGTAGACCATAACACCCTCTCGAGGGGGGCTCTCTGGGTCTCCCTCCAGCAGTGGCGTTGGTGAGTAATTTACAGACCTGCACTTTTACCTATACCTAAATGAGTCAAATAATATTTTGAACTGGGTTTATTCTATTTTAGCAACCTGCCTTAGTACCAGCTACAACCCCAATATCAAGCCCTGTTTCGTTGACTTAGTTGATATCTCAAGCAGTCTTCCTACTCCCATCCATGGAAGACAACCTATATTCCAAGATTTTGGTTGTCACCGAGGTGCAAAAACATCCATGACACATTATGGGAAGAAGGGAAAGAACTACATGTAAATGTCAAAACACACACACCTTTTTAAAGATGTAATGTTATGGGGATCCTTACGGATTTACCAAGGCAGCTACCTAAAAAGGGAACTATTCTGGAAAATCTTAAACCACGCCTGGCCAAAGCCAGCTAAAGGCTCGGGGCCCTCTAGACTGCCTAATCACTTTGTCACAAGCAGGTGGCAGCACTGATCCATCAACAGTCTCGAAAAGTAAACCAGCAACGTGAAACACGGAGGCAATGGTGGCGCATGTGTTGTGGAATATTTCCATTATTATTGCAGGTTGATATTAAATTTGAAGTGTTCCATTAATCATTATACATTTTTATTCCATTTTCCTTTCTGTTTTACAAACTGCAGTTCTATCCTGTGCCTCTACCCTGGCTGTTAAATATTGCCACGTTATTATAGATAAAAAAAATTTGGATGATAAAACCACAAAATGACATTGATGAATCACGAAAAATTATCGTTGCATAAAACAAAAACCATGCCACATGATGCAATGCGTGATAAGCTGTACAATTTTAGAATCTTAATTTTTTTTATTTCTGTAATTTATTAAAATATTTTTTCAAACGAGGCTATAGCAAACAATAGATTTAATTAACTTTTAAATGTATTGGCCTATCTAAATGTTCAAGCAACACAACAGTGCATCTTTAAAAAAAATCCATTGCAGTAAATCAGCCAATGGGTAATTTTGTTCTGCATTGATGCAGCATTGTGATTATATCATGATAAAACATATGTATATATTTTAAGATATGCAGCCCTTGGTCAATCCACTGCAAGATGAAGACTCTTCTTCCCATGGTGTGTTGGCCATGGGGGTTGTTTAACCAAACTTCAGTGCAGGTTGGTGAAGAAGTGGGTGGGGGGGGGGCAGGACTAGTGGCGAGAGTGTTACCTCGCCTGGTATACAGGTCATGGGTCCAATCCCGACGCCGCCACCTGTATATTTGGGGTTTGCATGTTCTCAATCCCCCGTGGTCGCATCGATTGTTATCCAATTTTCCCTCCAAATTTATAGACGCTAGATTTTTTCCCAGCCTCTGACCGCCCCCCTATTCTTCTCACTCCCGCAGATGCCTTCTCAGCGCCTCGCCCCCACCCACACACAATGGGTGCGGATACTCCTGACTCTGTTGTGTGTAGGGTGTGTAGGTATGTAGATACTACTGACTCTATTGTATGTAGGGTGTGTAGGTATGTAGATACTACTGACTCTGTTGTGTGTAGGGTGTGTAGGCATGTAGATACTACTGACTCTATTGTATGTATGGTGTGTAGGCATGTAGATACTACTGACTCTGTTGTGTGTAAGGTGTGTAGGTATGTAGATACTACTGACTCTATTGTATGTAGGGTGTGTAGGTATGTATATACTACTGACTCTATTGTGTGTAGGGTGTGTAGGTATGTAGATACTACTGACTCCATTGTGTGTAGGGTGTGTAGGTATGTAGATACTACTGACTCTATTGTGTGTAGGGTGTGTAGGCGTGTAGATACTACTGACTCTATTGTGTGTAGGGTGTGTAGGCGTGTAGATACTACTGACTCTATTGTATGTATGGTGTGTAGGCGTGTAGATACTACTGACTCTATTGTATGTAGGGTGTGTAGGCGTGTAGATACTACTGACTCTATTGTGTGTAGGGTGTGTAGGCATGTAGATACTACTGACTCTATTGTATGTAGGGGGTGTAGGCGTGTAGATACTACTGACTCTATTGTGTGTAGGGTGTGTAGGCGTGTAGATACTACTGACTCTATTGTATGTAGGGTGTGTAGGCGTGTAGATACTACTGACTCTATTGTGTGTAGGGTGTGTAGGCGTGTAGATACTACTGACTCTATTGTGTGTAGGGTGTGTAGGCGTGTAGATACTACTGACTCTATTGTGTGTAGGGTGTGTAGGTATGTAGATACTACTGACTCTATTGTATGTAGGGTGTGTAGGCGTGTAGATACTACTGACTATTGTGTGTAGGGTGTGTAGGTATGTAGGTACTACTGACTCTATTGTGTGTAGGGTGTGTAGGCGTGTAGATACTACTGACTCTATTGTGTGTAGGGTGTGTAGGCATGTAGATACTACTGACTCTATTGTGTGTAGGGTGTGTAGGCGTGTAGCTACTACTGACTCTATTGTGTGTAGGGTGTGTAGGTATGTAGATACTACTGACTCTATTGTGTGTAGGGTGTGTAGGCGTGTAGATACTACTGACTCTATTGTGTGTAGGGTGTGTAGGTAGGTAGATACTACTGACTATTGTGTGTAGGGTGTGTAGGTATGTAGGTACTACTGACTCTATTGTGTGTAGGGTTTGTAGGCGTGTAGATACTACTGACTCTATTGTATGTAGGGTGTGTAGGTATGTAGATACTACTGACTCTATTGTATGTAGGGTGTGTAGGCGTGTAGATACTACTGACTCTATTGTGTGTAGGGTGTGTAGGCGTGTAGATACTACTGACTCTATTGTGTGTAGGGTGTGTAGGCGTGTAGATACTACTGACTCTATTGTGTGTAGGGTGTGTAGGCGTGTAGATACTACTGAGTCTATTGTACGTAGGGTATGTAGGGTGTGTAGGCGTGTAGATACTACTGACTCTATTGTATGTAGGGTGTGTAGGTATGTAGATACTACCGACTCTATTGTATGTAGGGTGTGTAGGCGTGTAGATACTACTGACTCTATTGTATGTAGGGTGTGTAGGCATGTAGATACTTCTGACTATGGTATGTAGGGTGTGTAGGCGTGTAGATACTACTGACTCTATTGTATGTAGGGTGTGTAGGCGTGTAGATACTACTGACTATTGTGTGTAGGGTGTGTAGGCATGTAGATACTACTGACTCTATTGTATGTAGAGTGTGTAGGCATGTATACACTACTGACTCTATTGTGTCTAGGGTGTGTAGGTATGTAGATACTGCTGACTATTGTATGTAGGGTGTGTAGGTATGTAGATACTACTGACTCGATTGCATGTAGGGTGTGTAGGCGTGTAGATACTAATGCCTCTATTGTGTGTAGGGTGTGTAGGCATGTAGATACTACTGACTCTATTGTATGTAGGGTGTGTAGGCATGTAGATACTACTGACTATTGTGTGTAGGGTGTGTAGGTATGTAGATACTACTGACTCCATTGTTTGTAGGGTGTGTAGGTATGTAGATACTACTGACTCTATTGTGTGTAGGGTGTGTATGCATGTAGATACTACTGACTCTATTGTGTGTAGGGTGTGTAGGCGTGTAGATACTACTGACTCTATTGTGTGTAGGGTGTGTAGGCGTGTAGATACTACTGACTCTATTGTGTGTAGGGTGTGTAGGCGTGTAGATACTACTGACTCTATTGTAAGTAGGGTGTGTAGAGAGAGTGCTACTAATCTCAGCTTGTTACCTGTATAAAAGACACCTGTCCACAGAAGCAATCAATCAATCAGATTCCAAACTCTCCACCATGGCCAAGACCAAAGAGCTCTCCAAGGGTGTCAGGGACAAGATTGTAGACCTATACAAGGCTGGAATGGGCTACAAGACCATTGCCAAGCAGCTTGGTGAGAAGGTTTTATATATATTTTATTATTTTGTTGTTTCCCTTCAATGTGACCTTACCGAAAAAACTAAGAATGTGAATTACTGCAGTCACGAAAGCTTTTAAACAAAATTTAAGGTGACAACAGTTGGTGCGATTATTCGCAAATGGAAGAAACACAAGAACTGTCAACCTCCCTCGGCCTGGGGCTCCATGCAAGATCTCACCTCGTGGAGTTGCAATGATCATGAGAACGGTGAGGAATCAGCCCAGAACTACACGGGAGGATCTTGTCAATGATCTCAAGGCAGCTGGGACCATAGTCACCAAGAAAACAATTGGTAACACACTACGCCGTGAAGGACTGAAATCGTGCAGTGCCCGCAAGGTCCCCCTGCTCAAGAAAGCACATATACATGCCCGTCTGAAGTTTGCGCTTTGATCATCTGAATGATTCAGAGGACAACTGGGTGAAAGTGTTGTGGTCAGATGAGACCAAAATGGAGCTCTTTGGCATCAACTCAACTCACCGTGTTTGGAGGAGGAATGCTGCCTATGACCCCAAGAACACTATCCCCACCATCAAACATGGAGGTGGAAACATTATGCTTTGGGGGTGTTTTTCTGCTAAGGGGACAGGACAACTTCACCGCATCAAAGGGACGATGGACGGGGCCATGTATCGTCAAATCTTGGGTGAAAACCTCCTTCTCTCAGCCAGGGCTGAAAATGGGTCGTGGATGGGTATTCCAGTATGACAACGACCCAAAACACACAGCCAAGGCAACAATGGAGTGGCTCAAGAAGAAGCACATTAAGGTCCTAGAGTGGCCTAGCCAGCCTCCAGACCATAATCCCATAGAAAATCTGTGGAGGGAGCTGAAGGTTCGAGTTGCCAAACGTCAGCCTCGAAACCTTAATGACTTGGAGAAGATCTGCAAAGAGGAGGGGGACAAAATCCCTCCTGAGATGTGTGCAAACCTGGTGGCCAACTACAAGAAACGTCTGACCTCTGTGATTGCCAACAAGGGTTTTACCACCAAGTACTAAGTCATGTTTTGCAGAGGGGTCAAATACTTATTTCCCTCATTAAAATGCCAATCATTTTATAACATTTTTGACGTGCGTTTTTCTGGATTTTGTTGTTGTTATTCTGTCTCTCACTGTTCAAATAAACCTACCATTAAAATTAAAAACTGATCATTTCTTTGTCAGTGGGCAAACGTACAAAATCAGCAGGGGATCAAATACTTTTTTCCCTCACTGTAGATACTACTGACTCTAGTGTGTAGGGTGTGTAGGCATGTAGATACCACCGACTCTATTGTATGTAGGGTGTGTAGGTATGTAGGTACTACTGACTCTAGTGTGTAGGGTGTGTAGGCATGTAGATACTACCGACTCTATTGTATGTAGGGTGTGTAGGCATGTAGATACTACCGACTCTGACTCTGTACATAACAATATTTGTAAACCTGTTATATCAACTTTTTACCACCATATCTGGGGGTGCGGGGGGGGGTCCACTTTGCGTAGCTTTTTGATTCAGGCCTTCTGCAATGTTCTCTTCTCTTATCAATGAGTTGTCGGACAAACAGCATGCCGGCCTTTTATAATAGGTGCGTATTAGAGTATTTGGCTGCTATACATTTCCACGTGATAAGCCACTTCGTTGAGCCATCATTTGTTGTCAAGTCCCTTCCGAAAAAGACCCAAAGAGGTCGGCGGCCTTACCTGGTAAAATACCAAATGTTAGTTTATTCTCTTTGGTTCTTTCGGTAAAGTCACGTAGGTGGAAAAATAATAGATCGCGACGTTTCGATCGCAACACAAGCAACCGTCATCACCTTCTCTCTCTCCCCCCCTACTGCCGAAGCCTACTATATAACCTCGTGCCACGGCAGATCTCTCGCCTACTTCAGCAGTTCTCTTGGCTGTGGTTGTCCCACCTGATGACGATTGCTTGTGTTGCCATCGAAACGCCGTGACCTATTATTATTTGTCTACCCACGTGACTTTACCGAAAGAACCAAAGAGTATGTATTCCTGCAGTCACGAAAGCCTAAAATCAAGATTTAAGTTTATAGTTTAGTTCCGACTTGTCCACGTGGCAAACCCACGTCGCCAGAGTTGACGGTGCAAAGCACTAATCGCGATAATTAAAAATAGTGTATATATAATAGTAAAAAATGAGTGTTCGGGAAATTAATGGTCCATTTATGCACCATGCTCAGAATAACTTAAAGAATAGCTGCAAGGTACAAAATGTAATTCAAAAAGGCATCTTCAGCATTGCTTCAGTGATTCTGATATATTAGCTCAAACGAAAGAGAATCAATTCAGATCAAAACCTCGCATGCCACTTGCCTGTGGTCATCGACGCTAGGTGCAGCAGCGTACAATACATCAGAATTTCGTAATTTGATATCATGCCCTTGGGACACTCCCAAATAGTTAAAGCCACATTGCCAGCAGATCAAGTCACTTGGAGAGGCGGTTGCAATGCCCCCACCAACGCGGGAGTGGCTCAAGCCACAGATGTTCCCAGCCAGAGGCAACGAACACTATGCTCCGGCTCGTGTACACGACAGACGTATTCACCTCCTACTAAATATACCCAGTGCCCCACTTCCATGTCCTTCTGAGTGCCTTGCAAAAGTCACACGCTGCCTGCAAATTAAAGCACGTGTTCTGGAGACATTTGTTTTACTCTACCCCCCCAAAAATCATATATATATCATAATGCGGCTGACTGTGCAATAATTTTTCACGGAGCCGTTCAGCGTCAAAACAAAAAGAGTTACTCTGCAGTGCATATCATGCTCAATAGAAATATAAAACGGAAAAAAAAGTCGCAATGATTTTTTGGTATGCACGGCAATAGGAGTTTTAAAGTGGAGCAGCAATGTTTTAAAAAATTATTTTTCCCAGACAATACTGTTCTGTAGCTCTCGCATTATCCGAAGCTGCAAATTGTCTTTTGCATTCGATGTGTCACGATCACAGGGCCCTGACAGAGCAAAAACGTTTTCAAGTTTTATTTTGCTTTTGTGAAAATTACTGCGGCCGTGCGCACAATTACCCCCGCAGTAACCCTTGGGGCTCCAATGCAAGGACATTTAAAATATGTCAGCAGATCTTGAAATGCAAATAGTAACATTTGCTCCACTAACACGTCTAATTTGCATGCCCGTATCAAAGATGTCACCTTAAGGTCGTTTGGACAACCTTGGGTCAGTCGAGACACATCCAGGTTGAGCATTCAGCAATTCAAGAAGGGAGAGACTGCATCCTATCCCAAGGACTCTAATTTAATGCCTGGCCTCGAACAAAACAAGTGACAATTATCTTTTGAACCTATCCACAAATCATCTTGGTCTAAACCTGGTGTAGTTTATGAACATCAGCAATTGTAAGATAAAGGTGGCAGTGTTTGGTGCTGGTCCTATTATATTCTCTTGTGCGCCAGGCTGGCATGAATGGATACTTGCCAACGTCACTTGCCACAGTACCCTTCATGGCGAAATTAGATTTCTGCTTTTTTACGCTGATATCGCTCTGTATGTGATGCAGTTGTTAGGGCACTGTGCTACAAACCCAAGAACCAGAGCTCGATTCCCACTCAAGACCAATTGCAGCGGGGTATATTTGAACTGGTACTGATGGGCCTCCACTAGGTCGACTCAGCCTTAAATGAGTACCTGGCGCAGTGTGTAAACATCAGCACTGGGGAGGAGAAGGTAGCCGGGCGTGGTCCTGGCCAACTCAACCCCCTCGTGTGTCGTGTCCGGCCTTCACAGGTGCTCGCTAACAGCACTTGCCCCAACAGTCTATAAAGGCAATACAGGGATATGTATCTCTGTACTGAGTTATAATGGAAGGCTACAAGGCTGTAGCGTGCAGCATGTGTTTCCTGGGATCTGTCACCAGACTGATTTACACCAATCTGCTTGCTATGCATGTGCAATAGCCATGTGCAGGCTAGAGACGCGTAAGCCTTATCCCATGTGCGTTTGTTTGCTTCGCTGATGAGACGTATCAGGGATTGCTGAATGTGTCCCTGGCTTGTGATGTGCACTGACATTGGGTTTGATCCTCGATACGAACAGGTTGAAGAGAACCGAGGCTTGTGTTAGAAATTTTATTTAAGAATCAATTGCATAGGGATTTATATGTTTGAGCTCATGGCACGAAAGGATATCCTGTGAATAACAGTAAGATTTCCTTCAGATACTGTATGTACACATCGTATATGCATTTATACTGCTCACTTCATTTCCAACAGGATTCCTTGTTTTAAAAAAAAAAAAGGATCAAATATTTTTTTCCCCGTCTCTGCTGGCTGAGAACGCCAGTGGGCCCTTGCCAATATTTTTTTTTTTTAAACGCGGACGTCGATGCATTGCGCTTGTCGCCCTGCTCGGTGCAACAAAGAGCAGCTCGCGCTATCTCAGAGGACATCACCGAAAGGTTATTCCCCAGAGCATTAGACCCTATTAGATGGTTTGCCTACATACTCTTTTAAAGAGATGCATGCGCTTACCCTGCCAACTTCCACCAGATTGGTAACCATTATGATGCTGGCACTGCGCTCCTGCCAGATCATCCTCCAGAAGCCGCCAACTGTGTCGGGAAGCGGACCTGAACGCGGGTGCACAATGGAAATAAAATCAATGGTCGATGGTCCAATGCCTTTCGGCCAATATAAATCAAACTGTGTTGTTTTATTATTATATTTTTTTTTTGGGGGGGGGGGTGGTTTTGTTTATTCTTTCTTTCCATTACTGGGGTACATCTATTGCACGAGTACAGTGCGGCGAACGCTTTTGGAAAGACACACAAGAGCTCATTTTAAATAAGCCGCACAATTCCAAATTTACCGCCGCCTTGTTTCAACAGGATAAACTGATGCGTTGTAATTCACGATGTTATTGGGGACGCTTTAATTAGCAGGCTGCGTTTATAAGCTACGCGGCCAATGTAAATGATGCTTTCGTGAGGAAATACAGCATGCTGTGTTGACAATATACGGCTGTTTTGTGAGATAACTCAATTATTCCGACTTGCCTTGTGTGGCGATATAATGGTGCGTTCGGTAGTATCCCTGCAGAAAGAGAGACAAAGGAATACTGTTTGAATTTCAAGTCCTTTGAGCTGTCACATAACATTAAAATGAAACGCATCAGAATCGCTGCTCCACTATGTATGCATTGTACAGCGAGATCACACAATGAAGCGTGCACTGGATTAATTGTGCAAAAGTTAGGTTTGATGAGCTCTGAAAGACATTTTTTTGAGAGAGGAGTAAAAAACACAAGCATACATTAGCCTTTTAGTTGAACTGGTTTAAGCTGAATATACTGTTCGTGAAATGTTACTGCAGGAAAAGGACAAATCGCTGATAATGGGGAATAAAACAAAAATCGCTTGCCTGCCCTGCTGCGATAAAATAGAGCACTACGGTTGGGAGGTCCCATGCCTCCAAAGGGCCAACTCAAAAGGAGAGTCATTAACCTTTTCCGGAAATTCCTGGAACCCCTTTAACAACATCCCGTGAGAACTATCGTTCAGGCAACTATGCTGCCCATTACAAAGAGTTAGGGCTCTGTGGAAGTGTTATAAAGTATAAATGCCACAAACAGCCCCATCTTTTATTTTTCACTTCATTCAGGGAAAAAGGGCATTAAGGCGGCATAACTTAAGCAGAAACACATTCATGTCCTCCCTGTGCTACATGTCTGGATATTGTTTGTGGTATTATAGCTTTTCAATGCGACAATGGCTGGGTAATGTTGGTCAGAAATAAGATTTCTTAATGTCCACAAACATGAGAAAGCATAGAAATTAATTATTGTAATTGCAGTACCATTATCAACTCGTTGACAATGAATTAGCACACAGTTCTTGAATATGCAGCATGTAATGATATATTATGTCCATATAATGCTCATTCGCATTCCATTTCATTCCAGTGGAATTCAAATAAACTTACTGTGTAGAGAGAATATGTTTATTACCAAAGACTACCAAGTTATCCCAGGACGAATAAAATAGCTCCTTGTATTCTCGTAAGCTTTAAAAACCATTTAGAAAATAGGTGTGCACCGTCACATATCAATCATTTCAACAGGTAATGGGATAAAGGTGCAGCTCTGCAGCTGCTTACTCGTGTCATTGCTGGTGGAAAGGGCCTCCACTTGAGCAAGGTCTTAAGAGCTTCCCACATTGGCCAGACATCTTAAAAAAGAGGTGGGGGTACCCACGCTTTGCCCCACCACGCATGATCTACCAATGGACTAAAATTTGGTTTAACCCATGTATGCTTCTGGGTGGGCAGAGGTAGGGAGATGTAAGAAACTTAGCCCCATTGTTTCAAACACCCAGCCAATAGAGTGAACTTGGTGTGACCTCCGGTGACCTCTGGTATGCCACCTAATACACCGTGTTGAATATAAATGCTTAAATAAGTCAAATCAAACTTTGCCTAAGTAGGTAAGTAGGAAAGTGTTTCAAAAAGCTACAAAGTATTTATACAGAATGGTAAAACACTGACCTCAAATTCATCATTTCTATTGCTGCATATATGCCATGATGATATATGGGAGTAGTGCTGGCACAGTGGTTAGCAAACTCCACTATGAACCCGGCATCGAAGTTTGCTTTCCTGGCCAGCAGACATTATCAGCGGAAAGTGATGATATCAACCGGTCCTGGTTCAAATATCACTCTGATACATCCTGCTCTGACCAGCGTTGAAGTATGGTAAAAATTACACTGACGTCTGGGACAGTGTGGTGATGCTTTCTTACAGAATCTTGATATTGTACGTGAGTTAAAACTAATGTTGGTCCTTAAACGGAAATATTGTACTTTGATTGTTTTTTTTTAAATGTCATTGCATGTAACAGAGGCACCATAGCCGCCCAGTAGCATAGGTATATTTACCATGTGCTTGACACGATGGCCTGATACTGATGGTTCTTTGCTGAATACATTTAATCGAGTTGCAATGGCTTATTGTTACTACCAGTTCAGAAACATTCTCATATTATTAATTCTATGCAGCATGTGCATTACTAAACAATATTCAACGATGAGTGAAAAATAAGAGGGAGGAAGGAATGATATCGCTACAGTGGGGGAGCCCTCTGTGCCTGATTAAAATGCTTCATCTAAAAGGATGCCAAGCCATGCCCCGACAAATTAGCAAATATGAATTAAGATGAAATATGCGGGTGTTAATAACGATAGCAGAACAACAACAACAACAACAAAACCTCATCAAGAGGCACCTTAAAAACTCATCTCTCTGATTCCATGGCCCTATTAACACCTGAGTGTGTTTTGAGCGTGGTCCATATTGACTCGGCCCATATTGAACAGAATATATGTTCACTGGGCAAACACGGCTGTGGCTATCATGTTAGAGCAGCGCGACAAACGTGCTCGCACGGGCCCCCGCTCGATCTTACCATGCACAGCTCTCGACAGCAACGCAGCTGATGTCCCAATGCAAAGCAATGAGAGAAGCGCGCGCGTGTCACAGGAGAGAGAGAGAGAGATATAGAGAGAATGTGTGAGCTACTTTGAACATTACACAATGTAAATATGTGCTCAGACAGACTTCAAAAGAGGGAGGGAGGTTAGATTTTTTTTTTTCGCTGTGTTCCGGTGGTGGACAAGCAGAGCATCGCAACAAAGGGCGCTCGCCAATCACGGTGCTAACTTGGTAGACTCTACTCGGGCAGACGTGGAATTCAAAGTAACACACGTTTTTTTTTTACCATCATATAACGCAAAGTCAATGCATTATTATCGATATAGATCAATCCTAACCTTAACCCGCAGAGCTATTGCTGTAAATTGCCATCGCATAGCTTTCACAGTTGATGCTGTGCTTAATTCCGGTTGCATAAACTCCACGTCTGATTAATATAACCACCTCGCAATTAAATCCAACATATTGGCGGCGTGTAACCAGCCCTCGAGGAGGACTTGCAGCAGCCTCCGAGAAAGATTAGTGCAATAGATGACTGCTTGAAACACTTTGAGTGGTTGCTTTCAAAGAAACATAAACGCCTAATAAACATGTGGCTAGTGGACTGGAGCATCATTAATATTTAATCACTTGCATGCACAAAGCCAGCAACATAGCAAGCTATTTCTATTAACCAAATACAGAGGCATAAAGGGCCATGTATTTATTACTTCTATTTTTCTAAAGTCTGCACGGGTAATGTCAACACCCAGTGAAACATAACACGGCGAGATTAGAGGAACCACATCGCTGTCGTTCCAGGATAGATTTTAATAACCAGAAATATCATCTTTCCCAATTTCAGCTGTGGAAGTCAATATGGACAGTTTCCGATGCATGACATTGAAAATTCACTTACGTCAACGTAGTTGGCATTGATGTAATCACTGTTTTGTTCCTCGTCCAATACATTCAACATCACCCTGGAATGGTCATCTGTCAGAGTGGGTAGGTGAGCAAAAAAAAACAAGTAAATATATATACTATTTGGTTCTATTCGGTAAAAGTCACGTAGGTAATAAATAAAACAACAAAAATCACGACGTTTCAGCCACAACACAAGCGGCCTTCATCAGGTGAAGGGACCAGACTGTCTCGAAGACTGCGCTGGAGTGAAACAGAGCCAAGCTCAGACCACGGCCTTTAAGCTGTGTGAGAGGGATTAAGGTGCCTTGACAAAGGAATTAGCATAAAAATTAGCATTTAATTGGCGGACTTAGCATGATGAAAGGTGTAGAGAGGGTGAACATGCAGGTGCACATGCACCCGCATGTGCTGCGAAAGTTTGGGGTACCACTACTAAATTTTAATTGGCGGACTCACCTTTCATCATGCTAAGTCCGCCAATTAAATTGTTTCCCTTCAACGTGACTTTACCGAAAGAGCTAAGAATATGAATTACTGCAGTCACGAAAGCTTTAAATCAAAACCCTAATCCCTCTCACACAGCTTAAAGGCCATGGTCTGAGCTTGGCTCTGTTTCACTCCAGCGCAGTCTTCGAGACAGTCTGGTCCCTTCACCTGATGAAGGCCGCTTGTGTTGTGGCCGAAACGTCGTGATTTTTGTTGTTTTATTTTTTACCTACGGTAACTTTACCGAATAGAACCAAAGAGTATGGATTCTTGCAGTCACGAAAGCTTCAAATCTAGAAAGGAATAAATATATATAATTCGAAATATGGCATTCAAAAAAGACTTTGAACATGCTTACGGCAATTTGAAATATACACGTCGGCTTACATTGGTAATGTGTAATTTTAAAGACAAAAGGGGCTACCAACAACCTCACGTTTTTATTTTCAAGTGCGTGTGTAGATAGAAAGTGTTGACTCTGCTGTGCCGCTGACACCGCTGAGTCAAAATGAAATGCATCAACTCACAAGCGATGATGTTGCCGTATCTGTTTTTGGCCCGATTTTCATCTCGCTTAGCCACATCCCACGGAGCCGACTGTCCCTCAAAAAAACTCTGAAAACAAGAAGAGACGAGATATGCAAAATGAAATGTTCACATACGTGCATATAAATAAATAAAACAATTTAAGTTGAAGACACGACTTCACAAATTCTCTATTCTGAGTGCTATACTATATTGTGATCAAACCTTTTTGTAGGAATAATGTTGCACTTCTCTCGATGGTTACATCAGCTGGTTAAAGTGTTAGCTGCGTTGCCCGCAATGTTGCTTACACATTCTCGGCACTATATTTAAGCTGTTTTCATTCAATGCTGTCCTCTGGGTACAGAATGCACACGACTTTGGATGAAAGATTATTTGAAATATAGTCACTCCATGTACTGATGCGATTTATGGACAACGGCCAAGCTTCCCTCTTTTAAATGCATTTGGCCAAAGCTGAAAATAACAGCTCCAGATGTCTATTAGACTGCAAGCCAAAATTTATTTTTTCTTAGTTCCTTTTATAAATGCAGAATTTTTGCTAAGATTACATTTTATATATGCATATATGTAATTTAGTCTTAACATGGGTTGATTACCCTTTTCTTTAATGAGGCACACGCTGTTTTTTTATATATATATAGATAGACTGATAAATACTGTCGAATAATGCCAGAAGAGAAAAGGCCAGACACCATCAGACTCATTCTGTTATTGATTAAACAAATCACAAGGGTTCCTATCAGAGCCAGAACACAAGACCCTATGATTTTGTCTGGACATTAGCAACCATCTTAACCAGGAATTTGTCAGTGAGAATTTCTTTGTTATTTGTTTTAAATATTATATTCTTGTTACGATAGAATACATGTTCAATGGCAGTAAATTATCAATTAAAATAATTGTGTTATTATCAGTGATAATACATATGAACGCTTGAAATTTACAGGGAGAAGATGTTGGGATAAATGACCGATTTTGCAATATCAAACAATCAAAACATGCGTTTTACTTGTTATTTGTGGAACAATTTAAACGGCACTATATATAATGTCTAAGAATGACTAAAACATACTTCTGTAGTATCTGGCTTATTGCTGTGACTCACCTGAAAAATTGTTCTTTGTAGAATATGTCCACCTAGTAATTAATGCGCAATATATTTTTTTCATGGCAGACGTATAAACTGTTATTAGCTTAACACATTTACCATGAATTAACTTCTCCGTTCTACATTACCTCGGTGTGAAAATAACTGCTCTGTAAAATTGCAGTGCCCCCTGCGCCATATTCAAACTGGCAGGAAAGATGAATGCATCGTGGGCCTGGGTGAATCAGAGAACTGCACCAACCTGCTTAACCCCCACTCACCGACTGAGCCGGAAAATGCCCTATTGACAATTCTATGCCATGTACGCAGGCCGTGCGCTTGCAAGGATATTCGGAGCTATTGGGTAAAGTCACGTAGGTAAAAAAATAAAATAACCAAAGAGTATGGATCCTTGCAGTCACGAAAGCTTTAAATCTAGAATATTCGGAGCTGCTTCGAGGCCAATAAACACAACGGTGGAATTTTCAATGCAATTAATGGGGAAGTGCAGGAGCTGACACAGGTGCCTATCAACGTGGCAGTGGCAAACGCTGCATCATCTGTAAGCACCAAGTCCCACTTATAGCAAGCGCCAGCCAAAAGAATACGTTTATCTTGATAATTGGATTCTGCCTCATTACGCATATGATCATTATCACCCTCCTCTTACCGTGTATGCCTTATTAATGCATAGGGATGGGGGGGGGGGTATATTTAAATAAAGCCTGACTGGCTGTAGGAATGCTAATGCTAATTTTGATCTAAGTCTCAACTACAAATAGTATTTATCTTACTATTATTTTAATGAATGGTGAGGTTCTGCACAAAATTTAAAACAAATAATGGTGCCAATAGCCAAAGTATTTGCAACTAATATGAAAAAAATAACAATCAAGCATGTAACTAGCATAGGTCCTCGATTGTCTTGGAAACGCGAATTGATGTTTGACAACGTCATGAGCAAAAGATTCAAATTGTAACCCTGTGACCCTGTAATGGAAGTTTCAGAAGTTATTTGGAAGTATTTAAAAAAAAAATTCGCATTAAAAACAGGGTCAGTTGACCTGTGGGTAATTGCATGACTGTGCCATGCATCGTAAATCTGTCACAGAGCTAGTTGCTAGTATGGTATCACATTTTCACTAACATAAACAAAGAGAACACGTCATTAATGTTCCATGAACGTCAACGTTGAAAACGGAGAAGGATGAGACCAGACATTCTATATATATTTTTTTTAAGTTGATTAAATCGAGGTTTAAATCAAGTTGCTAAGATTTTGATACGAGGAATTAAAAGTCACATTTATGCGTATGCACTCACACGCCCAGGTGCCCTATGTGCGGTAACTGGTATTGAAACGAATAGAAGGCCACTCTACAAAACATCAAAAAACACGTGTGCAGAAAAAATGATCGTATTTGGGAGGTGGTTACATTATACACACTACCAGGCCTCGTCTCTACCTCAGCCTAAAGTTCAATTTTGCTTTTATGGTGCCGCTGGAATATGTTGGTCGGAGAGAAAAGGTTGTACCATATTCCCATGGATTTTTCATTTGGCAGGTGTTCCCTTTTGCTATGCACAACATGGACTTTGCTTCAAGATACCGGTGGCAAGAGTTCACAGCCAATGCACCGTGGGTTGCTCTTGATGTGAGCATACTGATGTGCGAGTCACTTCAGGACCCAGGTACTGAGGTGAGAAAGTGTGCAAGGCCCTTTAAGAGGCTGTGTGAATTTAATACCGTGCACACATGGCGTGCGGAGAACAGGTGGTGTTAATCAGGACCTAAAAAGCACGCGTTTTAACAACAAGTTAAAACGTTGCATGGGGAAATGGCTAGACGTTTTTTTTTATCTCCAAGAACGCTTATGATGAATGACAATTACAAGTTGAACTGTCAATGTTTACTTTGGGGGGAAAAAATGTACTGACATATTAGACGAGACTTCTGAATCAGAGTTAATAAGTAATGGGTCATTTGGGTTTGCCGAGTATTCGTAAAGATGCTAAACACAAGTACAATTATCTTACACCTAAGCTGTATCCATTAAGTGGTATGTTACCGATCGGTGTTATGTTTGTGTTTCATACACATGTATTACAATATAACTCTTAACCTTAACATATTTTCATGGCTATGAATCTTAATCCTGACCCCGATGATGCTGAAGATATTTGCTGTCAGTGTCGGCAAATCCCCAGCTCTCTGTCTATCTCCTTGGCAGGTTGACATGCCTATTGCTGTGCTGACGCGGGGATTAGCATTGTTTTTTAGGCAGCACACAATTTTCCCACTGGACTGACACACACACTTATAAACGTGGCTATTTGAGAATACAGAATAGAGTAACATTCAATGTTTTTTTTTAGCTCAACTACAACTGACTTTTTTATATATAAACGAACCAATATTTAAAAATCACCTTAATGTAGCAGCTGGGGAGGTCAGCGGCACAGAGTATAAAGGCAGTGTAAATAATGTTGTTTTTATAATATTGTAAAGCCATACGATAATTGAGTTTGGAAAATTTTAACGCTGCTCTGATTGCGTATTCTGTTGGCTTTCAAAGCAGCTTTCCACTATCAGACTTTGAACATGTTTCAGTTATCAACACAACCAATAACTGCTGTAAAAAGATACACAAAGTACTAATTATCATAAGCCTCGCCAATATATAGGCCATAAACGTATTTTCACAGCCAATATGGGATGTATCAAATGCTCGATATGGATCAATATTTAGCCATCACAGTTTCAGACCTAATATTTGATCTTAAGTACCTGCCCCTAAAACAAGCGACCCATTGAAATGTAACTTCTCAGAGATTTACTTTTTGTATACGAAGTGGTCTAATAACAGACCAAACAAAAGTTTACAATGCAGCTGGGGATCTTAGTGGCTTGTTTGGAAAAAAAAAGTTAGCTCACAGGGGAGTTAGCAAGCCAGATTGAATGGGTCCAATGAAGGATGCTTAAGGGGAGTTCTTCAATGTAAGGTGGCAGGATGTCACCTGAAACGAGGTCAGGATAAGAACTGGCCAACCGCTGCCTAAGTGCTCTTGTGGGGAAGGGAAGGGCCTGGGTGAGCTGGGTGCGCTATCTTGAATGTGAAAAGCGTGCACTTTGAGAAGAGCTTTCAGCGGAGCTGAAGGTTGCAACAAATGGGAGAAACTGTGGAAGACACATTGTATCCGGACAGGTGAAGTATAGTTACCATTGATGGACTGAAATAGTGATAGTGCTATTATGGAACATGTAAACAACACTGTTAGGTAGGCCAAGTCAGGCAGACTGAAAAGTACTGTAGCTGACTATTGCCTCGGAAATATTGCGCGATTGCAGTCCAATGTGAATTCACGAGTGACAAAGAGAGCTCTATTAAAAAAAAACACACATTTCCAACAGGACGTTTGTGGCTTCCCATGCGCTGTGCCGAACTTGTCCATGTCCCCCCCCCCCCCCACTCATTCATCCAGTTAGCGCTGTCACCTCATACTCCTCTTTGAAGCCGTAGCCCTCCCCGGTCTTCATCTGTCCAATGTGCTCCAAAAGATCAGCCACACGCACTGCAGGGTGCAGCCGCCCTGTGTGGTAGGCAGGTGAGTCGGGCCCATCCCTTGGGCGCCGGTGCCTCTGTGGCTGCTGCTGTTGTTGCGGTTGTTGTTGTTGTTGCGGCTGTTGCTGCGGTTGTTGCTGCGGTTGTTGCTGCGGTGGCATTGGAGGCTGAGGGGGCGGTGCGTGGGGAGGCAGGTGGTGCGTCTGGCTCGGCGGGCCGTGGTGCGTGTGGAATGACCGCACCGCCTTGGCCATGCTGCCTCCTCCTCCTCCTCCACCACCGCCACCACCACCGCTGCCACCGCCGCCGCCACCACCGCCGCCGCCACCGCCGCAGCCGATGACGCCAACGACACTGGGACCGCAAGCGAGGCCAGGCTGCTCCGCTGAGCAGTTCACACTGCCATGGTTCTCATCTAGGACAGATGACAGACAGAGGATTTTGAATTATCTACATTTCATCGTATTGCGTAACGTTTCCAAGATTGTGCTGTATATATATCTCTCTGTCCAATGAGTTGTGTCACGGGAGTGTCGTTCGGTACGATGTCTCGCGTTTTGCCCAATGTGCTGGGAGCTTCTTCAGGAACCGACATAAGTCGCGCTGAATTTGGTTCCTCAAGAGGCTCCCAGCACGTGGGGCAAAACGTCGGCCACGATGCTGGGCAACACGCGATACAACAGGAGTCGTATGTATTTATTATGAATGTTTTTGTTTGGGCATTTAGGAAGGTAACAGTGTGATCCGCTTGTACACACATTGGGATTCTGTGGGCCATGTGAATTCTCAATGCTGAAAGTGTGCACACAAAACAACATACTGTATGCGTGTGAACATCAGAAATCCTAATAGTGGTAGTATGCAGCAACGCTGTCATATAATAACCACATTTTCGAGGGAAAATTTACACCGGCTTTTAAGATACGTAATTCATGGAATGAAACGTGCAGCAATTTCCACTGGAAGCTTTAAAAGCTTTGGTGGGTGATTATTTTCTGCGACAAAATGGAACGTTTTTTTTGCTCAGCGTGTAAAACTAGTGGGGAAAAAAAGTATTAACAGCTTGCAAGGCGGGAAAATGAGTCACGTTGTACACATAAGGCAGATATGAGCAGAGGGTAAATGGGTGGGTTAACATGGCTATCATTCCTCACATTATCACACATCATACATGTAGCCCTCCTCCTCCTAATTTTCATGCCACGCAAAATTCAGGATGAATTCTGCCAAAATAGGAAAACACGAAAACAAGGGAAACCTCCCAGATGATTTAGGATGCTTCCCCTGCTTCTTGAATGGATCTTTAGTAAGTTGGTTTAATTTGTATGTTGCATTTAAACGAAATCCTAAGACCCATTGCTCTTAAATGCACTGATAATGCAGGTATTTTTTGTTTTTTTAGCTTCTCTTAAACCAAATTATTATTATAGTCCATGAGCCCAGAAAAGGTATTTTACTTGTCAGTACCACCTGCGGTAGCATACATCTAGTGGTTACAATTGATTGAATGTGGCCAAAAAGTGATTGAATGTGATAGCCACTTAAATTTGTGCAGTTAGCCGAGTATGGTGTGAAAGAAGCTCAACATGCATACATACAATTGAGTGGGTTGATAAAATAATTCCCTCTTGTTGGCCGTAACTGAACCACCTTTCCCCAGCCCCTCTCAGAGACACACTGCACCCATGTCCCATCTCTCACATCAGGGGATGCGGATCCTCTCTGCATTCGCAGGTCCCAGAGGCTTTGGTCAATGGGTCACCAAGCCGTGTAGACACAAGCCTCTAGAACTCCCTTCCACGAGATCTCAGGAACTCCCTGAGTCAGTGGGCATTTTTTAAACACTTCTTAAAATGTATTCACTTTCGTATATTTAACTATTAGTAAATTCAGGAAATCGCTTTTAGCATTTATTTAATCATATATTTGTTAGTTTCATAAGTTATTTTTACGCTGGAGGTTTTGCTGCTGTCTTGCACGGCGCTTTGAGATTCTCGATGAACGGTGCTTCATAAATGAAATAAGTATTGTTAACGATCGTTATTATTTACACATAAAGCGGTACGACTCCATTTGTTTCACCTTAGGTGGTACCGATTTCTGCCGTGGCCCATGGACTCTTTGTAGGAGTTGTTTTATTCGCACGCTTGAGCAGCAACACGCTGGTCGTCTCTCTTGCCACGCGCCTTAGATATGGGGCGTTGTGGCGCAGCAGATTTCTCCCTCTTTTGCCATCGACTAAATTTGTAAGTCTAATCCGTGATTTGATTTGTGCTGTATATATACAAAAACTGCGTGTACTATTTAATATGAATTTCCACATCTTGCCAACTTGAGGTCAAGAAGAGGTGTTTAATATAGACAATATTTCTTCGTACATATTGCGTGGACAAAGATTGGGAGAAAATACTGCATTGTATAATTCTACAGGGCTCCCTCTAGCAGAGATGCCCTTCTGCGAGGAGTTGCATGAGCAAGAAACTGCAGGGCTTTTCATTTACCGCTGCACCCATACGTGTGCATATACCTAGGCATTTGTAACCTGACCGAATAAACAAGCATCTGCTTGGGGAGCCAAGGGCCCCATTCCCACTGCACACAATGGACATGCAGCGTTAGGATGGCTGGCACACTGACTTACCAGCGATAGACACTGAGTCCGGAGAGACAAGTGGCAGTAGAAGTGACAACGGCATGAAGGGAAGAAAAAGGGAAGCGCACGTATATAAACATGAATATTGAGCGCTCCAGCCAAAAAAACCACTCCAGGCCAGCGCCAACAAAGGGAATCCTGCACTGGTGACTGGCCGATGGCCACGTGGTGCCAGCGTAAGGACGCCACAGAGCAGAAGCTGTGTTTATGGTGGTCGGTGCCAACAGAAATCGGCAGCCGCTATGAGTTCTTCAAAAATATGTATATATATTTATTTTAAATCCCAATTTTGTTGCAAGAAAGAGTAGCTGAACAGATTTAAATTCCAATGCATGCGTAATCAGAAGCATATTTCTTTGCCTCCTTTAATTTCCACAAGGCTGCCAGGAAAAAGAAAACGGAGACAATGCTGATACCTAAAGCCAGCTCTGCAGATTTCTATTGGCCCCTGATGAAGAACAGCTGGGTGGTGAGATGGTGGCCCATCTGAGATGAACACGTCAAAACACAACCTGCGCTGCTCCTCCGAGGAACCAGGGATAGCAAAGTGAATATCGGGCCCTGCTTTTCATTGGGATTCGTTGATACAGTACATTGTGGGTAAAAATAAAAGATTATCCAGATTCACCGTACCACAATCGGTTGATATTGTATTGAGCTTTGGTACAGGTTTCCCTCACTTTATGGTGGTTCGGTTTGCGCGATTTCGCGTATATGCGAGTAACCTATTATCCGCCCAGTGTTTGCTGTATGCGGTTTGAATTAACTCGTTAGGCGGCTATGCGGTCAGATGTGGTGGATAAGACCGCGTAGTGTGTACTGTGTGCGCTACTCGGTAGGCAGCTGTGCGCACTTTATTATGAACCTACCGCATAACGTGAGGGAAAGCTGCACTTCAATAAAAATGCATATTTAGACTCCGTTTGAAACCCACTTGTCCTGGAATTACCTAATCACTGTCACAATGCGATTTGAATTCTAGATCACTGCAGGAATGAGCCAGCCTGGGTTTGATTTTTTTTTTACTCTTCATCACAATTGCTGAGCCCATGGGCACAGAGGCCCCGAAATGCCAAGCGGTTAACAATAAACAGTTGAATGTGTTAAAGAACATAGAGTTACATTTCTTGAATTGAGAAATGTTGCAAGGACTTATGTTGGGAAAAAAAAGCGACAATGGGAGCGAATTCCAACGTCATGCAGCGTGAGGAAATAATCAGAAGAAGTATTGTGCCCTCTGGTGTGTATATTGAACTTCTTTCACACCGTAAGTAGCCAACCGTGCTAATCAAGAGGTGCGGGGGGACGAAACTAAACACAAACAGCAGTTCTAAAGCAATTAGTTTTCAATCTAGATTGTGGTTCATTTGTGGCAATTACTTTATGTGCAATGAATGCAACCTTATAACGTATTCGTTCGGCAACCACTGGACGGACATGGTTGGATCTTACGGTACCTGTCGCTGCACGTGCCAGAATAGTAGATGAGATGGACCAGTCGGTCTGGCAGTAGACACAACTCTTAACATAGGTGGAGGAATTGATGATTGATGCTCATGGCAACCACAAATACCTTGCTGATCTCGGAGCATAAACCATCACACGAGCTGCGGCCATCCTCGCAGTGGCTTTGGGCTAGCCATCGAAGAAAGACGGTCACCGCATCGCACGCTTTCAGATGCGCTTCTGTGGACGTCTGGAACGCTCTTCCTTCCGATAGCAGGAAGCCACTGGAGCTAAGCACTTTTTAAATCTAGATTTTAAAACTCATTTCCTGAAAACTGCTTTTTGTGTTTAATTTGTCCTTCCTCCGCACCTCCAATTGCACAGTTGACTACGTACGGTGCTAAAGGGGTTCAACATTCATACGGAGAGATACAACCACGGTAGTGATAATAGTAGAGTGGTAATGAGGTGACTGACCGCCCGGTGAGGATATGTCTGGAGTGAATCAGTGAGTGCTGGATCATCATTCACCCTTACTGCTTTGAGTTTAACATTTCGATCAGTGCAGTGCAGTGAGGTAGCAACTGGGGGTGCTAGACCCCAGCCACGACAACAGAATGTCATCGTGGCACGCGGCCACACTTGATGCGAGCTCTCTGGGAATTCCAGCGCTGGATCGCTTTGCTGTCGGGAGCAGATCGCGATCCATCCCTCGTGATGAATTACAAGAAGCAACATTGCCGCGGGGCGACCTCCCGAGAGCGTCGCGAGAGGGCACTTTCATGGCGTTCTTTGATGGTGCTCGGTCACGCACCCTGTCTCGTCACAAAGTTCGGCGGTTTCGTGACAAGCCATGCCGATAGTTTTTTTTTTCGGCTGGCCATCAAACAAAGACGGTCACTGCATCGCTCGGTTTCAGATGCGCTTCTGCGGCCATCTGTGAACGCTCCTCCGCCTGATATTAGGAAGCCACTGGAGCTATGCACTTTTAAATATAGATTGAAAACTAATTTCTTTTGAACTGCTTTTTGTAATTAGTCTGTTGTCCTTCCCCCGCATTTCCAATTAGCATGGTTGGCTACGTACTGTGCGAAAGAAGTTCAACATATATACGTACATATGTTACGGATCTTTTTAATAATCACATCGCAGTGCGGATAACATTTTTTAAATTTTACTTCATTAACGTGCGCCGAATTGTCGTGAAATAAATCAAATAGAAAATGCTGCTGGCCAAATGTGATGATTAATTATATTTGCATGCATACTAGCAGCTTAAGTACATTTCGAAAGCTGAACAGTTTTAATCTTTTTCGATTTAAAGCTTTCGTGACTGCAGGGATTCATCTTCTCGGTTCTTTCGGTAAAGTCGCGTAGAATGGAAATAAAATAATAAAAATAAAACATAATAAAATAAAATTCTCACAACGTTTCGGCCACAACACAAGTAGCCTTCTTCAGGTTGAGAAACAGGACTGTCCAGAAAACAGAAGACAGTCCTGTTTCTCCACCTGAAGAAGGCTACTTGTGTTGTGGCCGAAACGTCGTGAGAATTATATTTTGTTTTATTTTTATTATTTTATTTCCATTCTACGTGACTTTACCGAAAGAACCAACAAGTTTTAATCTTATCCAAAAGTTAAGCTATTTTTTCTTTCATTATAAACGTTATTAATAGTAAAACAATGTCCAATCTCCATCTCTTTCTTTGCACCACCATTTCAAGCCGTACAAAGTAATTGTACCGTGCCGTCATTTATATCACCATACCATGTTTTTGAAGATTTTTTTTTACGACTGTAATGATTGCTAATAAGGGATGCAGTCTTAAGACCTTTCTTACCCAAGACTGCTGTTGGAACAAATGTATCATCCGGTGCTGCTAGCAAGTCGTAGACAAACAAAGGTCAAAAAAGAGAGAAAAGCAAGAAGAGTGAGCATGGTTTTGACATGCATTGCCATAGCTGTAGGTTTGCGTTCAACATTTGTATAAAGTCTGTTTTCGGTATCAACACTACAGCATGAATCAATTGTACACCTTGAGCAGTTAAATGACTTTCTACAGCTACTCTAATGAGAAAAAAAACCTACAGTGATATCCTTGGAAGCAAGTGTGCAGCTGTCTGAGTGTGTGCAGCCTTCTTTTAGCCAGAGGTAATACAAATCTATTTTCAAATTACAGAATTCTCTCGGCCCCGCTATGTTATTACACTGTCAACATTTTAGTGCTGCAGCGTTACAGTTATCTTTGCTCAGAATAACTCCCTTAATGCTCCAAGGAGGACGACCGCGAAAGGAGTGCGCGTGGCCAATCACGTGGCAGTACCAACGGGCACAAACTTTGCTTTATTTTACTCAGACGAAGCAAAATCCCGTCGAAAGGAAAATGTGTAAACGACAGTTGTTTGGTTGAGAAGACTGCTGATGCATGCCCTCGCGACACGGTGAGTACACTGGACTAGCAATCGTGGTGTGTGCCAGTTAAGCATCCCCATGCTTCTGTTCACCGCAGTACAAATGGGGTTCCACCACGTCGAGTAGATCGATAGGTCACGTGTGGGTCGGGTAAAGAATGTTGGGTGCTCCCACCGCCTGCAAGATCTCTGGACAGTGTGGTAGAGTAGGCCACAAACGTCCTATCGAAGACCTCTCGAGAGGGTCCTCTGGCGAAGGCCTTCCACGGGCAGTGGCATGGTCAAGCGATTGCAAGGGCTACTGCACCTTTTTTTCTCTCTGAAGTTTGATATATAAGTCTTATTTGGTTAAGAATATCGAGCGGTTTTCATTCAAACAGGAGGCCGGTTGGCCGATAGAGCTGGGGTGTGATCACGAATACAACACATGCAATGCACTCCACTGACTTGCGATGCATTCAAAATGTGACTGTGAAGTACATTTGTAACAGACAACCATATTACCTGAAACGTAGCAAGGGTGGCAGGCTTTGCTGTTATTGGTATGGCTCTTGTCAGAAAGTGCTGGCGATGAGAAAGCTGTGCAGAGACACAAGTTAATGAAAAATCCATTAATACCTTTAAAATATTAACAACTATAATGTACATAAAATTTTGATTTAAAGCTTTCGTGACTGCAGGGATTCGTATTCTTGGTTCTTTCGGTAAAGTCACGTAGAAGGGAAACAATAAAATAATACAAATATAAAACAATACAATTATCACGACGTTTCGACTGCAACACAAGCAATCATCGCATTTTCTTGCTGTGGTTTTCACACCTGATGATGACTGCTTGTGTTTCAGTCGAAACGTCGTGATAATTTTATTGTTTTATATTTTTATTATTTTATTGTTTCCCTTCTAGGTGGCTTTACCGAAAGAACCAATAATATAATGTACATTGCCAAGGTTCTTAAGTCCCCCCAGCAGTATCAATGGGTTCACTACAGTTCATCAAGCTGCGGGATAAAATGTGGGTACTCCCACCTCTCCCAATGCGTCAGGCCAGTGCTGAAGAGTCGACCTAAATACCCTCTCAAGGAGCTCTCCAAGGTTCCACCCAGTGGAGGTTCTTCCACCAGCAGCGTTGTGAGCAAGACATTGCATGGCTGCACCCTTTATCTTTTTATAAATTACGTATGCAATGCTTCACACAATGATCCTCATAATAAATATTTAGACATGCCCTCGTGAGTTACACCTCATTGCACATACAATAAGCAGTGAAAGACAAACATTAATTAGAATGTAACAATGCCTAACCAAGAGGATTTAACGTTTTGCTAATTGAGCCTAAAACCTTGTGTTTTCAAAACTGTCCATAACACGAGTACATCATGTAATGAAGCTATGGTGATACGCTGCATGGTAACAAATATTGACTACAGGAATTGAAGCGTTGGATACTAAAGCAATAAGCCCAAATTGTGCTGCAAAACAATTTACAACTTGAACATAAGCAGAGATGGACAATTTTGGTTTGCAAATTAGATTTCCAATGTGTAATTTGTTCTGGGTTGCAGGACACAGTAAAGGTGCTGTGTTCAACTTTTCTTGCACAGCGATAGCATCTGTCTCTGTCTAAACAACCGCCCGGCTATAATTATTATGCATTATCAGTCTGAGGTATCTCCTTCCTATGCTCTAAGATTATTTGAACATTAAGCAGATAAGTTGGGAACAATTTTATCATTCTGTGTAGCCTGGTAAAAAAAAAAAACACATTCAGAACACAGCCATGTATTTAAGATAGCGCTGAAAGACAATGATATCTAAACGCAGTGAATATTGGGTATAAACTACTTGAAGGCAATATTGATACATAGTTACTTTTATGCAACACCAAAAGCATAACAAATGTGTAATCGCCCAAGGGTGCTCAGAAATATATTTATATAATCTCATAACATCGCAGCCTTTGGCCGAACCACTCATTATGCTAAAAGCTCCAGCATGAAGCCTGCACCCATAGCTTAATCATTGTCTGTGACTCACGGCAAGGGATAGGGGGGAATAATGGTGGGGAAGGGGGGGGGCATTGGACTGACAGCATGGTCAGAGTTCAAAATGTGAGGCAACTAAAATGGCTAGTTTAAACTGCAACTTTATAACACAAGCCGACCAGTTCACGGATGCTGAATGCCGTAATAAGAGGACGCATGGAACGCTGAATTTAAACCGTGTCAATTTCACTCCAGTGCCGCTGTAATTACTCGTTAGCACTCTCAGCAGATTTTCCCGTTATCTTGACTGTTCACGTTGTACATCATTCGAGGCAGCATTACATTCTCTGCTGAGCTTTCCTTTGGGAATACAGTACAGTACATGTTTGTTTACTTTTGTCATTGCTGCCGACAATTCTCTAAAGTCTTCTCGGAGTTTTGAAAATGGAAAAGCAGCTTACAGATGAGATGGCACGTTCTTGTCGGCTAGGATAACCAAGTTTGAATTATAATACGACAAATTATCTTTGGAAAAATAGGAGTGATAAAGGAATGTAATTCCACTATAAAGCCAGCCAAAAGTTAAATGCATCAGCAGAGTGTTCCTGCGAGTTACGAGTTCTTTCCGGTTGGCTGTACAATCTGCACTAAATCCCTGAAACCTAAACTGCCAGGATGTGAGTAGATGCCAAAGGTATGCAGTAAGTCAGCTGCCGAGGGGGTAGCCACGGCTGAGGCCAAATCCAGAGGAAAGCTCCCTGGAGGAATAGTATGTGCATAGAAAACCAAATATGGCCTTCAGGCCCCGAACTCCCCCACAAACACAAGTACACACACAGGTGCACACGTGTATGTGTGTGTGTGTACATATACACACACACACATAGTGGGGAGCAGTAGTGTAGTAGTTCACGCACTATGCTACGAACCCGGCGACCCAAGTTTTATTTCCACTCACGGCCAACACCAGTGACGAATATCTGAACCAGTCCAGGGCCTCCCCTAGGTTGACTCGGCCTCAAATGAGTACCTGGCACGGTGTGTAAAACATAATCACTAGGGATACAAAAGCGGCCGGGCGTGGTGCTGGACACCCACCCCCTCGTGTGCAGTGCCGGCCTTCATAGGCGGGTGCTCGCTAACAGCACTTGCCCCAACACTCTGTTAAAGACGATACCTGTATTGCTGCCGTTGCTTTAGACGCATTAAACTTACAAACATTGGCACATTAGCACATTCTTTAACGTCGCATTGTCGTTGACGTTAAGGGGAGTGTTTAATGTCCATTTTCCTCTTTATTTACTTAAGCCTTCCTCTTCTGCAATCAGTCACCCATGACTGTTGCAGCAAGGCATGAGTGTGTCTGTGTTTGTCCTCACTTTGCTTATCACCACGTCAGTGAAATCGTTCCTTCATTTGCTAAAATCAAATCCAAATTAAAACAGGAGCATCAAAATCTATTGCTACTCTTATGGATTACCACTGTAAACACCATGGTGCACCTTACCTAGAGCCATAAATTATAACACCAAACCCTAGAGCCATATTTTAGTGGCCTAAAATATGGCTCTAGGGTTTGGTGTTATAATTTATTTATGTAGTTTATTGTAAAAAAATTCGGTCACAGTCCCTATGATCACTGTTACATTGCATTTATGGCTTTTATTTTGGTGATTTCGAAAACGTTTTTTTGGTTTGGCCATGTTTTGTTTATTGTAGTACGGAGTTAGACTGATGGCCTAAATCTTAGTTGTCTTGTGGTTGTTGTTGTTGACTTGCATCCCACTGGGATTTTTGCACACAGCGTTGGCGTACGGTGCTATTTCAGGAATATTTTGATGTTTTTTCCTGGATTTTCTGTTTGCACAATCACATAATCACTTTAAGATGTTTTCTTGTTCATGTTTTTGTTTTTTGTTTGTTGCGGTTGCACCCGATTCAAGAGCCGAATGGCTCACAGGGCTATACCAAATAAATGGAAATGGAAACCACATTCTCAATTTGTGAGACGCATTGCTCTTTCAGTTATTTTTAAAGCAAACATTGGGGGGCAGGGAGAGGGGGGTAGTGGCAGGGTCCTTGATATGTGGCCTGAAAAACGTTCCACCTGGACACGCAAGTCACAATTGCGCTTCGGTGTCCAATCCAGCCACTCAATCCACGGCGTGGCTTTTATAAAGCAGCCGAGGAGGAGACGGCGTTTTGACTCGTCCTCTGCAGAAAACCCATAACAAAATATAATCGTCGTCGCTGTTCGCATTTACACGCGGAGACACCAAATGGGAGTTCTGATTATATACGCTATTGCCAGTACCATAACAGGCTTGAGACGACAGGCGTTGAGCATCGAATGTAAGACGATGCAATGTTAGCGCTGGATTTTGTACCGGGTTGCCGTGATTCTCACGGTCTGTGTGACGCCGCTGCTGCGCATTTGCCCCGACTGTATTTGCCTGGAGGGGTGCGTCTTACTTTCTGGCGCGTCTTTTAAATCCAGGAAAAAACGGTCAAAGTTGATTGTTTTTCCTCCAATCTTTTTCTGACCTTGCTACACATACAGTGTCACCCACGTGCCAACTCTGTCTGGCGACCCCCTGATACACATGCAATTGCAGGATATCGTAAAATATACCGCAGGTACATCAACAAAAATTGTGACCAAAATCTGATGTGTTAGCCTTCTGAAAACAGTAAATTACGTTGGGTGTTCATCATACAAATACACAAACTGCACAGTTGGGTGAATTTATGCACACGACCAAACTGATCTCACTGATAATATGGTCACATAAAACACACACACACACACACAAATGTCTAATATGATGTCCCATTTATGCATAAGCACACACAGTGTATCCAAATAAGCTTAGAATCTGAGCCCTAAGTCGGGCAATTTCAAAGCAGTTGCTGAACATTAGACAACAATACCTTTAGGGCGGAGTATATTTCTGTGCGTTTCATGAGTATTTTACTTGAACTAATTATAAGATGACATGAATGAGATACAGCCCTTTCTCGATCCACTGCCGGAGAAATGCCTCTCCAAACAGTGTTGGTCATGGGGGTTATTTTACCATCCTTCACCACACCGGTAAGTGTGAGATGGTTGAGAGTGGGCCAGGACTGGTTCAGATATCACTTGCCACTTATTTTCATCCATGGCGTAGAACTGAACTCAAGCCCCCAGGTTCATATTGCAGCCATGCTAACAACCACAACACTCCACTTTGATATACACACTAATAACATAATTTTTGATGGACAATTGGACGTTATTATTTTTCTTGTAATTCCTTTTAACATACTAACATTTCAAGTGGGCCTTAAAATAAATTGTCATGTATTTTTTTCCTTACATATAGGTTCTCAGCAGAGCAAGGACATCAAAAGAAATCTCAAGTATCCTATTTGGACAATGGTTATCATGAAACACAATCTATTAGTCTCTCTCATAAAAATGCGCGCGCGTGTGTGTGTGTGTGTCGAGTGGGGAGCGGTAGTGTAGCGGTTAGCGCACTGCGCTACGAAGCTGGCGACCCGGGTTCGATTCCTGCTCACAGTCAACACCACAGTGACGATTATCTGAACCGGTCCTGGGCCTCCCCTAGGTCAACTCAGCCTCAAATGAGCACCTGGTGCGATGTGTGAACATCGCCGCTTGGGAGACAAAGGCGGCCGGGCGTGGTGTTGGCCACCCACCCCCTCATGTGCCGTGCCGGCCTTTACAGGTGCTTACTAACAGCACTTGCCCCTACAGTCTGTTAAGGCTACACGGGGGATCTTTGTCTTTTTTTCGTCTGGAACATCCATCAGCATAGCAAGAATCGCTCCCCTCTCCCATTAATGCGATCGGTCCTATTTAAGCAGATTTAAAAGTATAATGCTGCAGCCACTACTGCTCGTGGTTCATTTCGCAACAGCCATTTAATGCCTGCGATGATTCTACAGTGTCTGGGTCGATGGGTGCACAATCATTGGGGAAGTATGATTAAACAAGACACTTCAGAATTGCTGTTTTATCTCAAAACGTGAATAGTGTTGCCGTGCCTTAAATCTTTTTTTTATTGTTTTGGGAAGTGCGATTGATTAGGGTTGGAAATGTGTGACTAAAGCAGTGATCGTGAACTGCTTTACCTGTAATGAATAAATAAATGCATCCGAGCACATCGCGTTACTATTACAGACAGCACAACGTGCTTTGCAAGTTCAACTTCGGGGCGGGAGCAAGCGGGGGGGGGGGTGGCGGGGGACACAAAACGTTCTCAATTTTCTGTGACGATATCAGAATCTGTTTTCTCCTCCACAAAAGGCGACCGCACTCTCACAATGCCACTAAAGCGCGCGGGCACAAAGGCACCAGCAAAAAAATAAATTGACGGGGCCCGGCGCGACGGACCGAATGACAACCCGGCGAGCGACCGCTTTTGCCGCTCGCCGTGAACTCGCTCACATCTCCCGGTGCCGTTGTGTGCGTTGAGGAAGGCGAGAGGCTCCTCGCCGTGCAGGGCGCTCTGCTCCACAAAGCTCTTGTCCATTGCGTGCACCATCAGCGTCATCTCCTGCCGGCTGCCACCGTTGCCGCCCTCCTTGCGTTTTTTGGACATTTTCCTGCAAGTGCAAAAGACAATCCTCGTTACCGCCGGCACCGTCGTCATCCTCATCGTCGTCGTCATCATCTTCGTCGTGGCTGTGGCCGCTCGAAGCGATCGCTAACGGGTGAATCGCAGGCGTCCCTCGCTGCAAATTTGTCGTGAATGGATATCGTTCTCGTCATCGTTATCATAGTCACCGTTCAACGGGTCCCCTTAAGAAGTTTGGGGAAACAACCCGGCTTTATTCAAATCAATGTTTATGCCATTGCTATCTTAGAAGGTGGATTTGCTTCTCGTTACCTGCCACTCCTGCTGTCACGTGAAAGGTCAAGGCGCAGCTCGGCAATTTCTTGTTCACGCCACTGCTAGCGGAAGGGCCTTCACTAGAGCGAGCTCCAGAGAGTGGGAAATTGGCCTACTCTTCCAACGCCGGCCAAACAAAGAGGGTGTGGGTACGCACACTTTACTCCACCTGCACAACAACTCGCCTATCGATTACCTCTGGTGAAACCATTTATCCTGCAGTTAGTGGACAGAGGCGTGGTGGGATGGGACTGAATATAGTTACGCCATTGTTTCAACTGACACTCCGGAAGATTGAACCAGAAACTTGTTAATGGCTATTCCAGTATCCCGTTCTAACCATTACACCGTTGCAGCGTCCTGGGGAGAATAACTTAGCTTTCTTAAAAATCTAAATCAATTTTAATGTTCTGAGTTGATAACTTCGACAAGCAGCTTGTACTGTTGTGTGGGCCTTTTTACAGGCCCACGCTACGTAATTGCATATGATATGTCACATGTAGCTTATTTCGATTTTTTAAAAAAAGTAATTAATGGTGTCCTTAAAGCATCATGTACATATATACACAAAATGAACAAACACTTTAGCTCGTGCATTAGTAGGAAAAGTTGGTTCAAATACATGACACTCATTCGAGTAAATTCGATCAAATGGATACCTGGTAATTGATCTTGCCTTGGTCAACTTAATAATTATTGCCATTGTTAAATATCAAGATACAACTATACCCATGCATGCCACTGCAGTACCAATGCTTAATGCGAATATCTGATAGAGGCGTATAATATGATTCAATGAGCAGCTGGTGCTTAAAGAAGGAAACATTTGTCTACGTATTCACCGGATCATCATCATCATCATTCGCTCATTAATGTCCCCACGTTCCCCCAAAGCCAAAGCCCAAGCCATAATCAACGTTTACCCATCGCACTTACCGAAATATATTCCTGCATAGCCGCTCTCGTACAAATGTACTGGAATCACAATATCTCCTGTTAACATCAAAAAGCTCTATCCTCGGTGGTCTGTTCGGCATTAAATTCCACAAGGGTTGATGAGTAATGTCACCATGGGGGTTGTTCTTCCACCATCTATTCCAGGCAGACAGCCGACAAAATGTAGCCTTCATTTCTGTTGCTTTACACCGATGGTTGTCAACCATTTCTGGTACGGTGCCCCCACCCAAGACCATTGGTCCCCGCGTGTGCCCTCCCCAGTCCAGAATCAGAATATGTATTTATACTGGAGGAATCCGATGAGCTGAAATGCTCTTTTTCACACAAGTCCAGTAGGGGTGGGTCAGAACCTCACAACAACAAACAATACAAAACGACGATAGGAGTGTAAAGTATAGGAAAGGTAAAGAAATCACTTGAAAAAACTACATAAATAAAACGAAACAATTTTTTTTAATCTCACCGAGTAAAGCCCACCGAGCTATCAACTTATTTTTCAGAAGCGACCTGGCCGCAAATGAGAGCTCAGCAAAGTGGTTTATCACGTGGACATCTGTAACAGGAAAATAATTGTAATAATTTAAATGCACGTTTCCAATTGTGGAGGGAAACGCCAAAGGACCCGGAGAAAAACGCTACACGACCGCGAGGAGAACACGCAAACTTCAAATATACAACAGGCGTCAGGGTCAGGGTCGAAACCATGACCCCTCCTCTACACCAGGCGAGGTCGTTAACATCTCGTCACTGTGGCACCCCAACATCCTTGCCACCATGGTACCCCCCCCCCCCCCCAGGCTCCCCCCAGAGCTAAGACAATTGGTCACTGCTTGCCTCCTTTCCGGTCACTGCCACCCACCCCCCCACACGTATTTATAGTGGTTCAGATGTCCTGTGATCCCCCGTTTAATTCTCTAAAACATCGTCTCTTTTTAAGCCACGTTTATTTCCAACAGAAATTCATACGCAAAGGATAAACCGAACTAAAAAATGTTAGGGATCGATTAATTGTGGAGTTTACAAAACATCTGGACCATCCTGGACAGAGAGATAACATATCCACACATATAACGCAGTGTGAAAAAAGGCATTTGTTTCATGTTGTGCATTGCTGTGTCTCGTCACCATGATCCAGGGCCATCTACTGTATTCCCCGCGCACATTCGAAATTTCATCTGCACGGTATCCATGCCGCAGCCTGCACCCAATAGCTTGAGAACGACTTTAATACACTGTGGAATGGGCCATACCATGCAATCGAAACGTCGTGATATTTATTATTATTTGTTTTTAATCTACGTGGCTTTACCGAAAGACCCAAAGAATAAGGCACTTATCACGTGACATCCTTTCCTCAAAACAAAATAAATCCGAAATGACAACTTCCAAACTAGGTGCGGTATTAATTTCATTAAACCCCCCCCCTGCAAATTCCCTCCATTTAGCATCGATTAAGAAGCTACAAGGACATTTCATGCTAATTTTTAATTTCCCAACTCGTGCTACATTTTTCAGTTGAGTGATCTTCTTTCTCATTTCAAAATTCGACTTAATTTAGCTCTGTGTCTTCACAATTTCTCATTACGTAATGACAGAACTCGCTTTGACGTGTTGAATGAATCCTCACATGCCAATCAGTTAACATTTCTGTGTTGGTAGCAACCCCCACCCCCTAGTTGCCACGTATTACATTGGTGTCAGTTATGAATAATATTAAACATTCCCGGTGCCTTCACCCCCCCCCCCCCTTTAAATTAACAATGCGCGCGGTGACTGCTGTCGTTTATCAAGATTCCCATCGCGCAGAATCAAATCTCCTGTTGCCTAAAATTGAGCAGACCCGACAGCTTGTTTGAAGGCTCCTCTCGATGCCAGCAGACTGCCACTCGTAATGCCCGCACGTCTGCGGAGTTACTTAACGTGTTTGTCACGTCCCAGGGCTTGTGCCACGTAACACCAATTCAAAAGTGGACATTTCTAAAGGTTGGACTTGGCACATTCAGCTGTTGCCTACGTCCTTTTCGAGTGAGGGTGCTGATATTATTTTTTGCGAGGCGACTCGTATGCGCGGCATTGGTCATGCGCGTACATGGCATGATCGATTCATTTAATAGAAACACATAAGCAGTGTAAATCCTGGCATTTCCTGCCCCCAGAGTAAAAAACTATTGTGCTTAATTGGCTTGGCTACAAACGCATTTCGCTGGGGACATGCACATGGCTACTATTTATTGGTAAGCGTTCACATTTTCCAGACTCCTCTTCAAAAAAAATACTGCCGCATCCTGTGGAATGATGAGACTAGTTTGGCAGCAATTCTTGCATGAGTTGTTGTACCTGAACACATGCCAAGCATCTGCTATAGTGACTGATTATGCAGCTTTTGTTAAAGTTGTTAGAGAATGGCAGGCGATGCCTAATTTGTTTCAAACCAGTTATTGGCAGACAAAAAGCCTTAAAGCATGCCAGGAAGGCTGCTTGGGTACTAATCAAGCCTTTAGAATATATTTTAAAGGTATATTATTTCGCAGTTGATGCGATTTTGCTGGGAGATTCCAATAAAGAGAGTTTTGCGCAACAATCCATTTTATGTCATTGCCACAGAGGCACCTGAATGTACGTAATATTTCCAGGAGAATGTCGACACGAGCACAGCAATTACGTTTTTTTTTGCATACCAACACGTATGAGGGCTCACACAAAGGCGAACAATAATTATAAAAAAAGTGCAATTTTCAAGCACATCACTTTGAAACGACAGGGTATCAGATAGACATGACACCTGAATGTTTTTGTTCACCATTTTTCTGGATGGAATAATGTACGTCATGATGGCAGGATATAAGTGCTCTTCAGCCTTCTCAACTCATTGCATTTCAGCAACAGAAACCAAGTGCCATTACAATGGGGGGGGGGGGGGGGGGGAAATACAAAGAATACTAAAAAACACAACAGTGCTTGAAAGAGGATATGTTTTGTTTATATGCTTTCAGAGATCTAAGTAGAATGCTGAATTCCGTATTGCATTCCTAACAGCCTTTGTCCTAAGTAGAAATATCATTTGTTTTTAACACCAAAAAAACGCTTTCATAATCACGTTTGCTGCCACAATTAAATGTTTAAAAGGTGCTGCCATTTTGTCCAAAGCAATTACACGGAGTTATGACGTAATGGCAGTTACATTGAAATCGTGGAGTGGTGGTGCAGCGGTTTACGTTCTGCCGCTATGAACCTGGCGACCGGAGTCCGTAAGTGGCAGGTGATACCTGAAGCAGTGACCCTTGACCCAACCTGTCCTGACCAGCCTGGTGAAGTGTGGCAAAACAAACGCTGCTGTGGTGAGGCCTTCATCCAGCAGTGGATTGACAAAGCTATAAATGACTCTTGTACATTTTTGCTTATTTTAAAAAGATCAAAACATCTTCAGCTACTGATGGTAAAAAACAAAGACTTTCTTTCAGCTTCTGTTTTGTGCTTCACGGAAACATGGCTGTGTGATTTGATTCCGGACACTTCGCTACAACTAGCAGGATTCCATCTTGTAAGATCGTATCGTGACATAGCACTCTCCGGCAAGACGAAAGGCGGTGGTATTTGTTTTTACATTAACAGTGGCTGGTGTGTAGATGTCACAGTGATTCTGCAACATTGTTCTCCACTTCTTGAATCAATTTTTATAACCTGTAAACCGTTTTACTCGCCTCGCGAGTTCGCGTCGCTCATTTTGGTCGGAGTTTATTTGCCGCCTTGTCCTCA